TTATCTTAAAATATTTATTTGCGCAGGCGACTTTTTTTGGCGGTTTTCTGGACTATCGCCAAATATATAAACCTTTATTGCAACCCAATTTACGACCCAATTGTTTTAAAATTTTGTCTACCCCCCCTAATTCAAGAGTCTAGATTCCAAATATGTAAAAAAAAAATATATGTTTGTTCAGAGAAAGTATGTTTTTGTGTCTGATTTCGTAACTTAATTAATAGTTAGCACTAATTAATTAGCATATTTGAGGTCACCCCCAGGAACCATTAAGATTGACACTTAGTTCGTGAAAATCGGATCATTAGAACGAAAGTTATTCAGGGTGATATCTTTTTTTTTTGCGGACTGTACATAAGGGAGAAAATAAATCTTACATTTCCATTATTATAAAAAAGTAGTACAATAAAATCAGGAGAAAATTGAATTTAATTCATTTGGGGACATTATGCCTTTATGTACTTCCAAAAGGGGTTATTGGTGACATTTAATAACCTTCAAAGGAGGATATAGCAGTCAAATACTTCTATTTTAATTCTATAGGAAAGGTTTTTCAAGGAAATTACATTAAGTACAACCTTTAGTATAATTTGCAACAGGCCTTGAAAAATTTATAATTCTATTGGTAGAGAACATTTTTTTCATTTTAATCCCCATTAAAATTTTTTTTTTTCAAAAAATTTCATCAGAACATTTAAATGCACTTTAGATAACTTGGAGTAAAAAAAAAGAAAGTAATTTTTTAGGATCTAAAAAAGTCCAAAACCATTTATTTGTCCTTCAACCCCAGAAACTCAAGTGTGTTCTTGATCTATATGTTAAAAACCCTATCATAAATATTACCTACAATAAAATATAATAACAATATTTAGAGAATGTACACAAATCAACAATACTAATATTGACTCGACGAAATTTTTTTTATTTTTAAACATAAAAAGAATTTATATAAACATTACACAATATGATGACTTGATTATATTTTACATATTTCAACAAGTATAAAATATTTAAGAGTGAAACAAAATGATTTTAATATACAAATTATACCCATTCATTTCATAGTAATTCCTAAAGTATATATAATTTTATATATTTATACAAAATTTACTGCCATTTCTCCCAATCATCTTCATCCTGTAAAGAAAAATACTGATTAGGTTAATGATTTTTATAATGTCTTATATGCTGAATAGTCAGTAGCTCTTCCTAGATTTTGAAAATTTAAGGGCACTTAAGACCCAGAAAATTCGAATTTTGGAGTCCTTTTTTTAAATTTTTTTTTGTAATAAGTGGGTCCCTCTTTTTTATAATTTTCAGTGACAGTATTCTGTTATATGCTTTAAATTTGTCAACACTTGCCTTTCATTTCTTGTACAAATTTTTTTTCATATCTTGCGTACATTTTTTTTTAAAGTAAAAATTGTTCAGTTATTAAAATTTTTTAAAATATAGAATTGCCTATAAATCTTTCTAATGCATCGTATTTTTTGGTTAGAAAATTACGCGTTTTTTTTTTTTTTACACGTGCCCTGAACAATTTTTAGACGTTTTTGTGACATTGCAGTAAACAAGTGTTAAAGCAGAATAGTTACGATTCATTTCAGAACAAAATTCATCAGCAAGATTTATAAAATAAAAAGAGCCTTGATGTCTCAGGGGATAGAGCGCTCGCCTTCCAATAAGGCGAACTGGGTTCGAATTTCAGTCAATACGAACTCCGCATCCGGCTTTCACAGACCACAGTACTGACGTGAAATATCCTCAGTGGTAGACGGATCATGGGTTAGAGTCCCCTTGCCGCCTGGTTAACCGTGGGAGGTTCTTGTGGTCTTCCTCCTTATGTAACACAAATGCGGGTTAGTTCCATCAAAAAGTCCTCCACAAAGGCAAATTTCTCCCAATACTCAATCCATGAGTTCCCTTGCCTTCTGGATTGGGTTCAAGGCTACGGAGTTGAACAGAATAATAGTAGTCGTAAACCCATAAAATTTGGTCGGCTGACTCTTAAACTATTGTACTTGTTATACAGTATATGTATTAAATCCTTATAACAGCTAAACTATTAATTCAATTGCTGTTTTTGGGGGTCTTTTTTTTATTTCAGGATAAAAAAAGTAATAAGAATAAAGACTTTTCACTTGTCTGCATAGCAATGTCAGACATGTAAACGATATAAGAACATGACTGCATAGTTTATAAATACACAAATTTTTTTTTAATATATTAAACCTAATCACTTCGTTTTTGATTCATTCAAATCAGTGAAAAAAATACACCCTAAATATTACTTTGTTAGTTACTTCGTACTGAAGTTAAAAATGTGGAAAAAAAATCAAGTTTAAGGAATTTAATTAATTTATTTGGATAAACAATAAATCAGATTTATTTTTATCCTACTCTTCAATAGAATTTAAAAATAAATCTCTTCAACAAATTCAAATAGATTATTCATAACGAATTAGGCCAGTAAAGAAAAAGAATTATTTTTCTTTTAATTCTCACTTAGATAGCCAGACACCAGTTACTGCAATGTACTTTCAGATTTAAGATTGCTCCATTTAAATAAAATGTTTAAAAATTTAGTTAGTGAGTTTAAATGTTTAGTTAGTTTAAAAATTGAATATTCAAAAATAAAAAAAATCTTAACTTAAAAAAATTATAATACATAAATTAATAAAAAAAGAGAAATTAAAATTATTTGACAAGGTAGATTTTCAAGAATCATCAGAAATATGTTATATTTAAAAAAAATAAATAAATTGCATAAAAAAAAAATCATGTGAAAATTTGTATTAAATAGGCATGAACAAATAATAGATTTTCAGTCATTTCAGAATGTACAAAAGAGGAAATTTAAGGAAATATCCATATTAATGCACTAGCATATTTAGATAAGGAAATGAAGACAATACCTCTTTAGGGTGGTCTTGACTTACATCTTCCACATTTTTCAGATCATTTTCATTAATTTCTAATTCAAAATCTTTTTCCCATTCATCACCTGTACTGGAATCTAAGTCACAAAAATATTCAGAATATTTTTCTTGTATTTCAAAAAAAATTCAAATTTATTTTAGAAGTTATGAAAAAAGTTCTGTGGAGAATTATCATTTTGTCAAAATAAAATTATTACAAATATTTTAATTAGGTCCTTATAATTGCTTCATCAAGCAATCTTGCAGTCCAATGCAAGATTGAAAACATTGAATGTTTCCATGTTTTTTCAGTGATGATAAGAAAATACTTAAAAAAAAAGAGCTACGATTTCTATTGTTAGAGGTTTTTTAAAAATATAACAAATAACAACATAAACGTAAAAAGGAATTATAGTTTAAATAGTATGGATCATGATCAAGTCAAATAAATATATAATAATTGTAAAAAGTAATTACACAAAAAAACTGACTTTACAGTTTTTTTTTATGATATATGTCTAAAAAATTCACAAATATTTAAGAGAAATTGATTGTATATAATTATATATGTAATAATAATTTAAAAATAATATTAAAGAAAGCTACATGTATCTGAATTTTAAAAAGATAACTAACATCATTTTAAGAATAAATTATTAAACGTAAAAAAATAATAAAAATAAATTAACAAAATTACGTAAAGAAAGTAATATTACTTTTTGTTTTACATAAATACACATATATTTCAAACATAATCAATTCACATAACACAATGGGACATAAACAAATACATGGGGTGGATCTGCAAATCGGAAGTTGTTGTGGAGAAATCTTCAGAGGAAGGCATTGGCTCACATTGAGCTGTCTGGCCAACTATGATGATGATGGAGTGGATCTGTGGCTCAAGAATGCAAAACAAAACTGCATAGTGACTAGAAGGCTATACATTTATAAACTCTTGAATTTTATTTAATACTAAGGGGCTTCAACCTTTGTTCATTTCACTCAATAATTTCATGATTGCTTAGTAATCAATTTTGTTTTTTTAAGATAAGCAGATTGTTAAGTTAAAATTAAAAATTATTTGATAAAAGATCCCATTTTTTTATTGTATTAATACAGATTTAATTCAAAGGATTATTTTTCCAACACCAGAATAAAATTTAAACCTAAACATTTTGTTAGCTACTATTTGAACTTCATAACTTTTTTTTTAAGTTGTTTTAGTTTCAGTAACAATAAAGACTCATTAAATATCTGTAGAACTTCAAATAGCTATTTTGCATTCATTATTGTAAATGCATGCATTAACTGAGCACACTTTAACATATAATTTACTATCAAAGTAAATATCTTATAATAAAAAAAAATATACACCTAATTTACTGTATAGTAATTGCAAAACTGAATTTACCATAAAGTGTTGTACAATAAGATAATATAATGATATCACTATAACATTGTAATTACTGTAAATAAATGATTTATAGTTAACTAAAACTTTTATTAATGTTAAGCAGCTGAGAGAGACGAAAATATCCAGACATTCTTTGTTTATTAATGATTGCATCAAGTAATTTCTCTGTCAAAGAGAAATTACTTGATACTAAAGAGTAAAAGGATACTTATTCTTATGACATAGAGAAATATCAACCCATTTTTACTTATCTCACCAATAAATAAAAAAGCTTTGAAATGATAATTGGCTATGACTAAAGCCTTTTAAACAATAAATAAATGTTACAGATATAAAATTATTTTACTACAGTAATAATCATTTAGCAAAAGGAAACTGATGATAGATTTAATATAAAAATTATAAATATTTGAGGTAAACATAAAGAAAAGAACTACATCTGTTTTACAAGCATGCAGTACTCTCAAGCCTATTGTCGTTCTAAGAAAGTGAAGTTTAATAATAATGATTAATACATTAAGAAATTATTTGAACCCATAGACCAGTGATTCTCAACCACTGTGCCGCGGCACTTTTGTGTGCCGCCAAATTCTTAAAATGTGATTTTTATTACGAGTAAAGTTTAAATCAAATGAAAGTATATATATATACATAAAATTTTTTCCACGTTTTAACCGCGTGAACACCTTTGTCGGCGATCGTCTTGTCTTTGAAAATTTAATATAAACGTTGAAATAAGTAGGAAATTTAATGACTATTAAAATTATTAATTAACAATGAAGCAAGCTAAATATTGACTTTCGAACGGAAATAAAAGCTAATCATTAAAGTAAGCTATGCAATTAATAGTTATAAAAGCAAATTAACAAGGGATAACTATCCAAAAAATAAGCTAACAATTAATAATCAGCAAAAAAACTTAACAAGAATTCACAAAAAAATAAGTTAATAACTATAGAAAACAAACTAACAATTAATAGCTAGCAAAAAAAAATATAACTGTTACTAACTAATAAAACTAGTCGAAAGAGATAATTAATCCCTTAATAAACGCGCTTTTGTAGTACATATTATTTTATTTCACATTCAAAATTATTATCACAAACTATTTAACACAGTGTATTATAGGTAAGTAAAAAACTTTTAAAATAATATTTTTCATTGTGTGCCGTCAAATTTCGGAATCGTTAAAAGTGTGCCGCCCCCCAAAAAAGGTTGAGAATCACTGCCACAGACGAATCAAACTATATTAAGAAACAGTTCTTTTTTTCCTCATAAAAAAACACATTCATTTAACAACCACATATAAACTAAAAAAATTAAAGTACGTACCCAAAGCACGTTAGTAATAACCTTGCATAAAAAACACACACAAAAAAAAATCATAATAATTAAATAAATAAAAACCACAAGTAGTATAAACCTCAAATTCAATAACAAAAACTATTCTCCTCAAAAAACAACAACTATCTCTGATGTTCCATAAATTGTTTCTTCTGTTCATGCTTCTGCTAGCCAGATATTTTTTAAATATTTTGACTTTAAAATTGTTCTGCATGTAAAAAGCTGTATTTTAACCTGAATTCTTCTCCACATAGCTAAATAGAGGTTTTCAATGTAATTAGAGAGGGAAATAGTGTTTTGATGAGAAACATTCTCCCAATTTTGCCCATTTCTTAAAATGCCAGTGAATTTCTAGTATCAAAGAAGATTCAATATTTCCTGCAGCTCCATACTATAGTTTCTTATTTATTTAGTGAGCCTTTATGTAAAGAGGGAGTCATTACTATTTCTTCAAAAAATATGCTTAATTAAAGTAATAATATAAAAAAATAAGATGTTGTAAAGATTTAGAAAGTATAATAGCATTAGAGGTTAATTTAGAAATAACTTGATTAATCTATAGTAATATGAAATCTAAAACCTGATTTATATGTGCTTATAAGATTTTATTAAACAAAAAATCACTGAGAAGCTCATAAATAACTTGATTTTTAATAATAGTAAATTTTATTAAGTTAAATTATGCTAATATAGGACTATCTAAATGATTTTTTGAAAAAGTAAAACATTTAACAAGATGTTTTTATAGACTTATTAATAATAAACTGAGATGACAATTTTTACAAATATACATCTGCAATTAGACTTTTATACACTTTTTAATTTTTAAAATAATGATTAAATGTCTCAATAAATGAGAATCATGCACAAATGAAATGGTCAAAGATCAATAACATTTATTGAATTTTAACTATTTTTGATACTCTCTATAACCTTGATGTTAGATAATGAGTAGTGTTTTGAATCTTGTTTAATATGCATAAAAATGTTGATGCAAGATAATCAAAGTATAACTAGAATAAATAAAGATGAGTAGAAAAAAATAGGAGTCAGTAAAATCATGAAAATTTCTTATAGTTAATAATATTTTATTTTCTGCCCATTTCACAAATAGTGTACCTCACTAAATTTATGTACATTAAATTTCTATCAATATTAAGTTTAAAACCAGGAGAAGCAGACATTTAAATATATAAAACAAACTGATTGGGACAAATAAATATTTTAACAAATGATCTGGGGCAAATAATCTAATAGCTATTGTATAGTATAGCAATTAAGCAAAGTATAGTTTCTATACATTAACTTATAAGTTTACTTAACCATTATTTAAATTTAAGAAATTTTAAAAAAAGAGAAAGAAATATACCAATACAAAACATAGGAGTTTATTTTCATAGATATTTTCTAAAGCAGTAAAATTCAATAAAGTATTGAGAAAAAAAAAAAAAAAACCTAAAATACATACAGTAACTGAAAAGAGTAAACAGTACCGAAAAAAAAAACATAAAATAATAATAATTATAAAGGGGAAAATTAAAATTTTCTGACACCCATAGCCAGAAGGATGCATGCAAAAATTTATACTTGAAATATTAACCTTTCCCAAGCGATTCAATGGGAGATGAACGACGACTTCCGTTAGTGCTGTTTGCGGAAGAAGGTTCTGTTTGCACGTTTCTGCTTTCTTCATTCAACAGTGAAGAATTGTGATCTATCTTCCTATTATCCAAATCTGCTGAAGAAATATCAGGTTGTCTAGTCTCTTCATCTTTAAGAATAGTTTGTGAACTATCAGTTTTTATACTTTGAGATGAACATATTTCTGGCCTTGTATCTTTAAGTAATTTGCTTGAAGTAAAATCAGAGTTAACTATTTCTTTGGCAGATTTGCAATTTAATTGGTCTTCACTTTTTTGGTTTTGAGGCAATAAGTTTTTCTCATCATTAAGCTCTTGCTCTGAAAGAGAGTTTAAAAAAAAGAATAGAAATTATAACAATGAAGTAACTGGGAGGATTTGAGTGAACATAAGATAAGAAGAAATTCTGAAATTATTATCTAGGACACAATGCATAGACCAGAATATATAGAGCTCAAAAAAGTTTAACAAAGTTAGGTTAAAAAAAGTTTGAACATTTACAATTCAATTTTTTAAAATAACAAAATCAAACAGTGCCAGTGGAGGAAAATCTGGGTGGGCAATTTTTCTAACGAAGCCCTTTTTTGTATTAAATTTTCTTACAAAAAATAAAGATTCCCAGTGAATTATCAATCTCTCTAAATAGTTTGATATCTATATCTTATAATGCAATAAAAAATATAAAAGAAAATTATCAAAATATATAAAATATACAACCTTTATCCCATTCAATGTCGTCAATGGATATTTGTTCGGCTCTTCTCATCAATTCAGCTCGCTTTGCTTCAGCTTTTCTAAGAAGATGAACCCTGTAAAAGTATCTCTGCCAAAATTCCAAGTGTGACACAGAAGAAGGGACCTAAAGAGAGAGAGAAAAATATCAAAATTATGATATCATAAGCACGTATGAACTATTCATTATTATGGGATATAAATGACATTCGATGGCCCAATATGAGGCATTTGGTTTCAAAACTGGCTTCACCATTTTGTTATTTTTTCATTTCTTAGAGAAAATGTAATATAAAAACAAAATTCAACAGCCTTTAGATTTTTCAAAATTAGTTCAATTAAATATTAATCCTAAAAATTCTTTTGGAGAAAAATTAAAAAATAATTATTTCTCGATTGAGTGACCTTTTGTAAAAGCGTAACATGTTTCAAAGTGTGAATAAACAAGGACAGTTGTAGGATAACCAAAATAATAAACAGTTCTCTAATTTTATGGTTACGTTATTTTTATCTTAATTTCCCTTTTCTTTTTATTATTACTTTTAAAAATATGCAAAAAAAGAATTTTTAGAAGTTTGTAATTCATATTGCAGTGGTCTGTCTAGGTTTTTCTGAGCAGTACCTATTTTGTGAAAATTTAGACATAATTTGTGAAAAATTAAAAATTATATTTAAAAATCCAACACAAGAATATGACAAGAATATGGATTTATCATTTCTTAAGAAATACAAAAATAAAATTTTAAGAAAAAGTATTTTGTGAAACTACCGTTTTTCCTAAAATTAAATTAGTGAAACTACCGTTTTTCCTAAAGTTGAATTTGTGAAGGTACCGCTAAACGGTAGTAAATTCGGTCAAGACAGACCCCTGTATTGCTATCCTTAACAAACAGTGAACAAAAGTTATTACACCTCATTGTAATAAATTCACAGAAAATGATACTAATGACTTTTTTCCAAATTTTATGAAACATGACATTAAGTAATTGCACTTTGTTCATTCTACTTTTGGAAGACATAATAAGGGGGAGGGGAAAAGGGTTTATTTGAAAATATGATGTTACAAAGAGTAACTTAACGGCAAAAAGATGAAAGAAATTGCATGATGCGATTGTTAATGCTATTTTTCAAAGCTCTGGCACCAACTAAAATTAAAAAAACCCCACAGTTTCAAGTACCTTACACTTGAAGCAATTTAAAACTATATATAAATTTATGGAAAGAATTATCTGGGCTTTGGAACTAACAAATAACTTAAATGTTTTAAAAGTTATTAAACTTTTTTAAAAATTGCCAATTTAGGGATATTTTTTATCTAGATTTAAGTTATCATATTCAATGCCTTATTCTCAGTTTTCTCAAATTTTTTATGAGTCCAGGTAATGCAGCAGTAGTTTGTGGAGTAAGTTTTTAAGTATTAAAAGATTATTTATTATTCGACGTTTTGCACCATTTTCATGATAAGTATAGATAGCGCTGATTTTACATAGGCTGAACTTGACCTAATAGTCATGAGTAACAGTTGCAAATTCACAGCAGTTATAAAAATAGCATATTTCTCTCAAAAAAGCCTAATTTCATATTACGACGGAGCTTTCGAAAAACAGCCTTAAACAGAGAGTCCGAGTTGGATAAAAAAAGGCTGTTTCTCTATGAACTTTCAGCTATAGCTTTTTTCTCATATCTAAATGGAAGCACGATTTGTTTTTACTTATTACTTATGAAATACATTTTTTTAAATAAAATTCATCTTGATTTGTTATAAATTAAGTACTTACCAACACAACTTAACAAAAGACTACTTGAAAAGCATGACATATTTTTACAGAGATAAAATATGATTTAGAATTTTAAGTATTGAAAAAATTGCATCTTCCACCTATTTTTTAAAGGTAATAATTTTTTTTTTTCAGGTTTTATTCTTAGATGATCGATCACAAAAGGTAATAATAGATTTCCTTTTCTCTTGCTTTGTAAAATCTATTTTGACAATGCTCTCCCATTCATTTCAACTTATGTGGAAGACACCTTGAATTATGTGTGTTTAGAAAGTCGGTTTCATTTGTTGTTAGTAGATCACATGTAGGTCATGACATCATTCCCTTTTTGTCGTGCATATTTAAGCCTGAATTGAAACTTGTTAAATTGTATTCTTTTTATTGCTTTTCAATTTCTTTGTGAATCAGAGAATTTGCTAGAATACGATATGTCCATATGCAAGACAATATAATTTTGAATAAATTTTATTTTCATAGAACTTGCCTTCAATCTACTTCAGAGTTATTAATTCGTAATAAAATTTTATGGTTAACAGACTGTCAAAAATTGTAAAATATATTGATTTTATTCAAGTTTTTTTTAATTAAAGAAAGTGACGGTATTTGCCTGCAGTAATAAGCGGTTGTTAAGTTGTTGTTTAACACCTAGATATGAACATATTTCCGATTACATAGATTAATTGCTTCTTTACGGACCGGAAGAGTTACACAATATGGTATTCTTCTTTTGAGAACATGAGCATTTTGAGAACATGAGCATTTTGAGAACAAGAGCATTTTCGGAAAATGATACCAAGCTGAGCTTTTAACAATCAATAGTAACAATAGTTTGGTAATACAGTGAACTCTCGCTACTACGATATCCAATACAACAATAACTCCCTCTATTACGATAATGTTCTGTGGTCCCGCCAAACTTGCATATGGATTAATGGTATCCTCCTCTCAATATAACGATATTTTCTGAAGCAGTAAACCTCTGTAAAACGATTTTTTTTTTTCAAATTTCAACATTATTTTCTACATTTTTTTATTGGTTTTCAAATAATGTAAAAAGCCTTTTTGTCATCTTTTGCCATTTTTTTCAATCTTTTCTGATAAAAGGGTCACTGCTGGTTATGATCTTTCACCCCACTGTTATTTCTTTGCACATCAGAGAATGGCTTTTGTATTCAAATTTCATTCCCCCACTGTTGAGGTACTTAGACCACCCTAAGCGCTTCATGTTTTGGGAATTGCCTCCCTCAGTTCTTAAGAAATCACCCTTTCATTTCCTTCATGTTAAAAGGATCGATCATGAGACCACTCCAGTCGATCATGAGTCATAAATGACCACACACATCACAGTAACACCTGAGACCCTGAGAAGGTACTGTTTTTGTAGAAGGTGGGTGGGTGGAGCACGTTTATTGAAATTGAGTAGGAGAAAAAAATGTACACTGACCATAGGTCATCGTTCATCACTGTCACTTAATCCCTAATTTAAACTACACCTGGTAATTTCATGAGCAAGCGCAAATTCTACGATCAGAACTTTTCGCATTTAGTGCTGCTAACATTTTCAGCTTGGTCAGTCTTCAGCGTATTGGATATTTTTTACTAGTGTAATTTAGCATAAGATGGCAGGGAGAAAGCAACTTTCATTTCAAGATAAACTTAACGTTATTAAAGATATTGATGATGGAATGAAGCAGATTGATGCAGCTAGAAAATACGAATTATCTCAATCTACAGTTGCAACGTTTCTAAAGAAAAGAAAACAGATCGGAGATACTGTAAGTTCAAATTTAATTAATCCAAAGCGTAAACGACTAAAAGTCACAACTAATGAAAACATTGATGCTGCCATCTTAAAATGGTTTCAAGAGATGAGAGCAACAAATATCCCGATAAATGGGCCCTTGTTATGCACACAAGCACGTAAATTCGCAGCAATGCTAGGGAACGAAACTTTTAAAGCTAGTAATGGTTGGCTAATGTGTTTTCGGGATCGACATGGAATAACTTTCCAGGAAGTTCACGGAGAGAAAAAATCTGCTCCGATTAACGAAGCAAATGAATGGAAGAAAGAGAAGATGACAGATATTCTTCAAAAGTATAAACCAGAGAACGTTTACAACACAGATGAATCTGGGCTGTTTTTCAATTCCTACCCGATCGAACATTGGCATTTAAGGGTGAAAAATGTTATGGCGGAAAAAAATCAAAGCAAAGATTGACTGTTCTTCTGTGTGCCAATAGCACAGGGACACACAAAATTCAACCTCTTGTTATCGGCAAATCATTGAAGCCGAGGTGCTTCAAGAATGTGAAAAGTCTTCCCGTGGAATATAAAGCCAATAAAAAAGCTTGGATGACTTCTAAGTTTTTTTCTGAATGGTTGTTGAAGTTAGATAAAGAAATGAAAAAGAGGAAGAAAGAAATTGCTTTATTAATTGATAACTGCACCACTCACAACTCAATTCCAAAACTACACAATGTCGAAATTGTTTATTTCCCGGCCAACTGCACTTCGATTTTGCAGCCCCTCGACATGGGCATAATTAAGTGTTTCAAAGGATACTACAGGAAGCGTTTGGTTGAATCGATACTGGTCAACATCGAAAATAAAGTAGAAGACCCTTTTAAAACTGTGAATGTTAAGGACGCATGTGATATTATTGCTGGTAGTTGGTGGGAGGTAACAGAAAAAACCATTCAAAATTGTTGGAAAAAGGCCGGTTTATGTGTCTTTGAAGATAAAATTGTTTCTAATAGTGAAGAAAATTCCATAGACAGTGATCTTTCAGATGATCAAGAATTTGTTTTGAATCTTCANAAGTATCATTAATTTGTTTTTTCTTATTTGTATCAGTTTTACTAATTATCATCTAAATGCTTTGTAAAGATTTTTTAAATAATGCAAATTGTGCTTTGTTAAATTACATATTAATTGAATGTTGAAACATTGCAATGCCGGGCGGCATGTTCGCGCATGTGCGACTGCCGCGCCACCCCTGTGTGAAAGATTTATATATACCTTGAGAACTTCTTAAATGGCGGACGTAGTCCGTGTGTCTTGAAAAATAAAGTACTACAGTCCATTGAAGACCAGTGTTCTTCTTATTTACGAAATAAACCTTGAGCTATCGATTAGAGTGACCACAAACAACCGTAATAAATACTTTGCAAATTAATTTTTTCGATAATATGTCAATATATTTATAGTTAATGAATATATAACATTAAATTTCAAAAACTCTTATTGCGACCCAGAATTATGTGGGCTCTCGATATAACAATATATCCCTCTACAACAATATTCTTATTTGGTCCGCAAAATATTGTTGTAGCGAGGTTTTACTGTATTAAAGTGTTCTGAGAATGGAAAGAAAACTTACAAGCTTGTCATAAAGAGCTCTTGTGTCTGAACAAGACATGATTATTTCTGTCATTTCTTCTTGATATTCAGTGCAATCAAAGGACTCCAACCAATTTTCATACATTTCAGGAGGACCTTCAGGCTCATGACAAAAAGTTCTAGGATCAGTTCTAATCCTGAAGAGCTGTGTCTAACAAAATGTAATTGCATCCGTAATTTTAGAGACAAATAAAATATAACAGCATAAAAATTTATGCAGATCAGAATCTAACTATTGCAACAAAACAATGATTGAGAAAATAAATAAATTAAATATATATAACCTTATTAGTTTGTTGAAATAAGGTCAATTAAAAAATCAGGGAGGCCTTATTTTAATTCCTAATAAAAGTTTTAAATGTGCACTTCTAAAGATTTTTTTAGGTAGACATTCCATAATATTATATGACTGTAACTTTTAATGGAAGAAATTTAATGCTTTTTACACTACTCTTTGTCCATTAAGATAAAATATTAATAAAGAGTAGTAGCGATAAAAGAAGCAGTAGTTTCCCCCCCCCCAAATGTTTGGAAATTAAGATTAAAATGAGCAATTTCCAGCAATTTATTGGTATAAGTTAAAATTTTGAGCCCAAATATTCATTTTCAAAATGTTCTTAAAAGGAAAAATAATATTTTACTTTTCCCTCTAAAACTATAAAAAATATACTGAACAAAATATATACTTGAAAAGTGGCATTCTTCTTTAAATTTACATACTAAAAATACATAAATGAAGACCAAAGGGAAAGAATGGATTATGTAAATTTTTTTCTAAACAATAAGATCACCATATGTTGCATTTTGAGGATTTTTAAGTTTTGACAAATTAATAGCGTGGGAAATCTGTTCTCCCTGAGAGTTATTACACAGTGAAGATAAGCCATGCTAGAAAAAAAAAAGACTTCCTGATTGACTTGAAATTCGTTTTTCTGAGAATCAGCTTTCATGGACATAAAACGTTCTTCCCACTTGATCTTCAAATTTAATTAAATCATCAATTAGTCATGCACATAGAAATAAGTTCACCGATTTTAATGTTTCACACGCAAATGGAGTTAGGAGTTATTTTATGCATAACTATAAACATAAAAATATACTACTTAATTGGTTATGAGGTAAATATTATGATTTTGAAATCAAGATGATTGATTTTTATATAGATCACTGTGATATTGTGTATTAAAGATCGGAATTTTGTATTACATATGCGTTCTGTTTCACACTTTTAATTTTTAATGCGTCTGTAAATAAAAAAATATTTCATTCTCTTTATTTTTCTATCAATGTGTAAAATATCACTTTGAGTACAATAATATTTCAGAAAGCAATAATTACTAGATTCTTTATTACCAGAACCTAACTCTTTCCCCCCTTTTTTATAAAATTAAAAATCATTTCAGAATTACGCTAAAACCATTTTAATATCTGTGTAAAATAGACATGAAAACTTACTTCATCTTTTATCTGAAACAAACCATTTCAAATAAATAAAATTGAAATAACAATAATAAAATTAAAAAAACTTCAGTGAAAATTATAATAGCAATTTTAAAACACGTCTGTAGGTGTCATAGAGAAAAGTGCACCATATTATGCTGAAAGAATAATTACTTCAACTAATACTTGCTTTTTTACAAACCAAATTTAACAATATTCTAAATTTACCAAAGAAGTTGTTTAGTAATTGGCTTAATGTTAATAGCCTAAATAAACCTTATTAATATATATATAACTTAGATTTAACAGGGAATTTTTTTTAAATGTTTAAAAATTTTTTAATTGAAAGAGCCAAGAAAAAAAAAGTTAAAACAATATGACTGTTTGGGGATATTTCATTCCTGAATTCCATTCAAAAATCACCTTTCTAGTTCGAGATGCAAATAAAACGTATAAATAACCACAAATCTTAACATGAGTCGCAACAAAGCTATTTTTAACAGAACATGTTGCTAAGCAAAGCATTAAATAGATTTTATATGTACTCTAACTCATGTGTCTTAGTGCATATTTCTGACCAAATGCTTGCAAAATGCATAATCTGAAAGTGATGAAAAGAAAACTACTGCCATCAGACAAATGGAGCACGTTGAGAAAGTGCAAGCTTTTGTGGAATGAAGACATCTTATTGTGTGCTTTAATACATATGCTGTATGACGGATCATTTGAGAGACTCGCTCACAAAAATGTTATTATAATATGTTTAAATAAAAATTAATAAAACGTAAGCAGTCTTTAAACATTTTCTAGTTCATTTTTGAACTTTATATTCTTTATCTTTTGTGATTTTGGCTGACTCGGTTGTTGTCTTGGTTCCTACTTACTTGTTATAAATGAGTTTGAAATTAATTCTTATTCCAACCCTTAAATTTAGTTTTAAATTAGCTGCACATCATTCATTGCATAGAAGCTAAACACAAAGAATCAAATTAAAATATGTTTTCAAAAATAATTCAAGTAAAGACTATGTTTCTGTATATCTTTTAAATTCCTATTTATTTTTTCTTTCAATTCTTTAACTGAATTTAAAATCTGCTGCATGTCATTCAATATAGATGAGTTAAAAAAATAAAATTCAATTTTTAACACTGCTGCTAAAGTGTTTAAAGAGAGGAGTGTATATTTTCAAATATAGTATTTTTTAAATAGTATTTCAATTAGTATTTAATTTTTTCTTTAACTTTTGAATTCAATATTTCAATTGATGCATTCTCTTCCATTTATGAAAGTTCAACAATAAGAACCAAATTAAAAATTTTAAAACACTTTAGCAACGTTTTAAGAAAAGCATTTTTTGTAGATTTTTTAAAGTACTTCCATTAAGATTTAATTTATACAATTTAGTGATCTATACCATAAAAAAACTTAAGATTCCACCTTTATTAATTAAAAAAAGTGCAGTTATTATAATTTAATTTTGATTCCATTTCTTCAGACTTAATTTCAAATTAAAATCATATTATTTAAAACATGAATATTCATAATCCTACCTGCCACCAATCCATAAGAACAGGTTCAGAATCCTTAATGATCATGAGTTCACTTTCTTCTAATTCTTTTGGAGGAGCAAATACATCTGTTATTGTTTCAAGAACAGTAGTGAATGATTGACGAGCTTTATCAGCAACTGCCTCAGCAGTGTCAACCTGAAGAAATTTTTTCATACAATTGCAACAATACATTTAAAGCTTTAAGCAATATTAATGTGATGCCACAATTGGCATTACATATTTATTACCTATCTTTTAAAAATATCTTTCATTACTTAAGCTGATTTTTATTAATAGAAGAATTATATTTAAAATAAATCAAAGACTTAATCTTTTAAAACGAACATAAAATATTTTTTTCTTCTCTTCTAGACCAATGTAACTGATACTTTTTTTATTTATTTCATTACTAATGCAGACTTATAAATTCTCTGTCGCCTCTAATTGAAAACAAAAATCTATTTACAACTTTTTATTCTAAATTTCCAACGGCTAAATGTTTCGATTGCATGGTTGTAATAATTCTCATAAATTTGTTGGCGACTCGTGATCGCCAAGGTGTTCTTTTAAACCCAATATTGATATGCTGGTTGGCTTTGTTTTGGCTATGGTATATTATGATAAATCGCCAATTTTGGATCTCCTACCCATACTTTCTATGTCCGTTACGAATAATTATATTCACTTTTAATTACAAAATTTGTGGAGGCAGGGAGCCCTTTGGGGCCTCCCCAGTCTCAATTTCTAACCGTCAGAAATGATATTCTGGCTTTATGATCTCTTAATAGAGAGTATTGATTTCATCCCTTTGAGGGATTTCATATTTCTGTTTTGGATACAGAAATGGCCATTATCTGTCACCAATGATGCTTAATAAAATAAATTCATGTTAACGAGTTATATATATTGTTTCCTGGAGACTTAATTGTTTAATTCATTCATTATTGGCCTAAATGAACAATCATGAATTCCACTATACAATTATTGGCGGCTACTGACGGAGAAACAAACCTCCGTCATAATTAATAACACAAGAAATGAAAGTCAGTTGAAAAATAATTTTAAAATTTGAAGTTATAAGAATTTTATTCTATAAAACAATGTAACAGAGACATTAAAACAGATTAAAAATTTGACTGAATAATTTAAGGTAGGATTAGCCAAAACCTTCAGTGCATTGGATGATTACAAGTGACATTTCAGACATTATAAGAAGTTATTATTCCTTGCTTAATTTTAATAAAATGTATTGCTGTAGTATATCAAAATAATTGGGTTATCATAATGTTATCTACCAAGAGTAGTTCATATTAATGTAGTTTATAAATAAAATAACAAAGTGCCTGAATTGTATACATGATATCTGCTACATTTAAGATTTTCAAATTCATGATTTTCCCATGATTAATTCAAAGAATTTTTCATGACTTAACGAAGTTACTATCCTTTCTGACAAAAACACAACAATAAATTTAAAAAAGCATTATAATATCATCATTTAAATCATAGGTATAACTAAAATTAAAATAAAATAGCTGGGGGAAAAAATACAAAAGCAAATAATTTTTTTCCCTTTTTTTCTGCAGAATTATATTCTAAAGATATTTTCTTGTTCATCCGAAATAAAAGAAATACTCCTGATTTTTCTGTTTCTCATTTTGGAATAAAAAAAATTTGCAAATGATTGGCTTGCTTCAGGTAGAATTTTAAATTAATAAAATAAAAAAAAATAATAATAACAAAAATTCTGCAATCACAAAAATACTCCTGATTTTTCTGTTCCTCATTTTGGAATAAAAAAAATTTGCAAATGATTGGCTTGCTTCAGGTAGAATTTTAAATTGATAAAATAAAAAAAAATAATAATAACAAAAATCCTGCAATCACAAAAGTTTAAAAGATAATTCACTCTAGAAATGATGTTTTTTTCTTTAATTTTTTGAAAGAACACCAGAATTTTTAAAGAACAAGATAAAAACATTTTATATTTTAATAAAATATGACACTGAGTGGGGATTTTGTTACAAATTCAGATAGAGGGGGGGGGAGTAAATTCCATTTTAAAAATCAGATTTTTCAACGATCTAAATCCATGATTTTTTTTAACAAAAATAGTTAAAATCATGACAAATTTTGTTCAATAAAGAAATTCATGACTTTTGTTATATTTAAAAATTATGTTATTTATTTATTCAGTGTNATTCAGATATTCGGAATACCATGAAATTGGGAGGAGGGGTTAAATTTAATTCATTTTAAAAATGAGATTTTTCGGCGATCTAAATCCATGATTTTTTTTTAAATAATTAAAATCAAGTAATAAAATGAAAAATAGTTAAAATCATGACAAATTTTGTTCAATAAAGAAATTCATGACTTTCCAGGTGCGCAGATACCTTGCGTATAGCTCATCTTTATGAATTACTGCATCATTTAACGGAATTTTTAAAAAATAACAGCCAGATTTAGAAGGATCCATTGTATAGGATCTTTTGGCATGATATTGGAATAAAAAAAGGTAAACTCACAGTTAGCTTGCCTTTGATAATTGCAGCTGTAGAAGAAACTGCAGCTACAGCATCTGTCTGCACAACCTGACCAAACTCTGTAAGATCTCTCTTCATAAACTCCAAAGCTGTGCTAGACTAAAAAAGATTCCTTATTACTTTCTAACACATTACTAACAAAATGCTGATTATGCTAAAAACTCTTTTTTAATTAATTAGCAGCTTTTTAAATTATAAACAATTAATGTTAATAATGCATTCCTATATAACATTTAAATGTTAACTTTGAAAGCGTATTATTTTGTAAAATTAATCATTTAGTAAATATTGATCTAATCATTGTGTGAATAATCAATAAATAATATGACACACAGATTTTCAAGACGATTTATCATAATTGTTTTTGAAAAGTACTATTAGATTTTTAAGTAACAAGATGGGTAAGGAAGCACATATTTGAAAATTTAAAATAACAAATAAAGCAATAATACCTAAGGTTATCAATCAATAGAACACAATAAGTAGAGCTATGAGCAACAGAAGTAATTGGTTTAAGAAACATAGTAAAATTTAATGACAAAAGATAAAGAACTGAAAATATTCCTTTAAGAGCAGAATATTTCTTCAAGAAAAATATTGCACTGTCATTCAAGTAAAATTTTGCATGTTGTTATAAATTTAAACATAAAAGCAATAATTTTTTTAGAAATTTTAATGGTTAATTATAACGATTATTTTTTAAAATTTCTAATAAGTTCAGAATTATGTTTTAAACTTTTATTATTAATCAGAAAAAAATTATTGACTTCAAAAATTATTACTTTAGAAATAATTACTGAGAAAAGAATATGATGAAAGATTTTTTAGAAATGACCATCAAACAATAAATGCGTTACTGTTAGTAGTTTTAGAGAGTTATTACTAACGACAAGAAAATATTTCTAAAAATTACTCTGACTAAACAAATCCCGTGAATTAGATTTAAAATAATATATTTTTTATTGTTCAACAGAAGGCATGTTAACGTACGTAATATAAAGGAAATATTATATGCAATAAATTAATAACAAATAAGACAACATACAAAACAAGTTCAACAACATATCACAACAAAAATTACCGATAGATATGTGCTACAGAAACAAATGGTTAGAAAACAATACAAAATCAACTAGTTATAAAACAAAGACAAAAATAGAAACAGGCTATAAATAGGTATATAAAACATAGGACAACCCGCCGTTGAGCGCGGAATAAAAACATTATATACATTAAATTTGGTGTAAAAGGTGATATACACAACTAACTTTTTCTTTCGCAGTTTGTAGCCAACTCGGCCATGAACCCCACCAAGAACCACCGTTTGCTTCGTTGTTATTTTCTTCATCTCTACTAAAATATAAACATTAAAATCAAAAATTTTCTTAGATCATTGAAATAAAAAAGTAAACATTTTTATATTTAAATACAAACAATACTTACTTTCCTTCTTCCATATTGTCGATTGCCAATGTAGAATTTTCTACTTTTTTAAGTTTGTTATTGTTGTTGTTGACGATCCACCAGAGAGATCATTTTAATTTACTTAATGTTGCCAAAGAAGAACTTTTATTATGTTATTTTCTAAAAACATCGAGTTCACCGTTCGTGTATTATTTCATAAGATACGACAAAAAGCTAACCACGAGTTGCTCTAGTTTATTTCATCAAGGTTAATTATTTAATTTTGAAGCAAAATCTAGGATTTTTAAATTAATTTACATGCACATTTTTGTGCTCATGGTGCAAAACTTTAAATTTAAGGAAAACATTTTTAAGATTAAATATATTAAATATTTCCGTAAAAATGGCAACTACTTTGAGAGTTGAGTTTTGTTTTCAAACCGCATGCTTGCTTTTGTTTTGATTAGTAGTATTTCGTTTGTGAAACAGTAAAATTATGTGAATACATATTTGTACTCATGTAAATATTTATTTATTAATAATTCAAGTTTAATTTTAAACTTTAATAAACCTGGAGTTCTTAGAAAAATATATTGATAAAATATTGGTTGATAAGTCAAAAATAAAATATTTGTATTGATCATAAATTGTGTTAGCTCTTTTAAGATTTCACTAAATTTATCGCAATTATTTAAAGTCTGAAATAAATATGCACTATAATCCATTTTTTTCTGAGCTTCATTCGTTATATATAATAAGGATTTTTTTTTTTGAATCCCTGTTTTGGTTCCCTGAACATGCAGAAGTTCTCATTATATTTTATTAATAATTATGTGCAAGTGGACATATCATGAATAAACAGTATCTACGATATGCATTAACATTCCATTAATAAAGAATCATTACATGTTCAATGTATGATTTAAAATTTCTTTTGTTATAAACAAAATTTTTATCAAATGAGATATTAACAAACAAGAATAAGATTTGCGCTTACTAAATAAAATGCATTTTTGGTATTTGTTAAAATGTAATATATAAACTTAATCTCAAGTGTCGTGACATTTTCATTAGACTAAAAATTTGAAATATCAGAAAGTCTCTCTTTATTTCTTTTTATTAAAATAAGTAAATCAAACAGGAAGTTTTTCTGTGTTTCCGCCTTAAATGATTTCACAGTGAACTGGACTAATCAAAAATTGGAAAATATTCTTTCAAGTCTAGCTCTTATGAGAGAAGCAATGAATAATTAGGAGAGATGTTTTGACTTTAAACTGATGTTCTAAATTATTGTTTTCTGTCGAATTATGGGTTCAATATTTTAAACTAATGTCTTTAAACATAGATATTTTTTTTGTTAAACATAGAGTAGATGGAAACAGATTCAGTCTGTTATAGAATTCTTGAAATAATATGGGAATATTTTGGTATAATCATTTAAAATACCACAAAAAATTTTTAACTAAAAAATTTATTTACATTTTTTTATCTTAAATACCTTATTATATTAATTTTGAAATATTGAATATGACTCATTGATGTATTATCACAAACTCTGGAGGGTTTACAATCCGAAAAAAATTATGCATTTAGTGTATTGTGTATGCATATTGCATTTAATCTGTTTTATTGTTTAATAACATATTTTTATTTAGTAATTTCTTTTTTATTTTTGTGCTTTATTTGTTTTCCATGTATTAAGTATGTATTTAAAAAAAATAAATAGAAAATTAATAAAACGTAAAAAAAATTATAATAAATGAATAAATAAAAAACACTTAGTTGGTATAAAAGATGGATTTTTTCACCTGCTGGGTTTTTCTGAATTGGGCCCAACTTGGCAAACCCTGATATTAATATGCAACTCAGTTATAAATACTAGGTTATATTTGTATAGGATCAAGTGGAGTCATTACGATTACAGGATAATTCGTTTATTACCATTTCTAAAAAAATTCCCCCAATGTAAAAATTGAATAAAAAAACATGTTCCATAATGTTTTGTGTTTATAGTTTGTTTCAAGAACCTTTAAATAGTTGCTAGATTGAGTCAATATTGGGATAAATTGTCAAAGATTATATGAATTATTGAAGAACAGTTTCAGTGTATGTTGATTCAAAATGATTTAAGCAGGGATAAAAAAATTTCTTGGTAAAGCCATATTTGCTTTTAACTAAACCCATGATGCTTTTTTTTATAAATTTTTTCTTATTATTTTCTGTAAAAAAATAGGTTCATTACCTAATAATATATGATCATAATTATTCGATTTTTTTGTTACCAGAATTTGGTAGTTAATTCAAAATTGAAGTTCTGTTGTTGAAAAAGACTTAGAACATACATGAAAAAGAGGCATTCTTCTTCTTACTTTGGACATCCTACAATTTTAACAATTAAAGAACAAAAACTTGTCTAATTTTTGTTGACTAGAGCCTGATTTGGTTATCCTTGTGAATATCAAGTACTTTTGCATCATATGTTAAAGAAAATTCTTTCTCTAATATTTTTAGGAAAGGCAAGCCAGAGAATGGGTGCTTAGGCTTTATGAAAAGACATCCTCACTTATCCTTGAAAAAATTTGAGCTCTTTTAGTCAACATAACACAATTCCAGAAATTGTCTATTACTTTAATGAAAAATTAAAAGCTTCATATAAGGAAAAAAAAACCTGACCTCATCTGATAAATCTTGCTTTGTATTCAATACAAAGGAGTTAGGACCCCTCCCCCTTCTTGTGCATGGAATGGTTGAGAAAGTTAAAGCACTGATTTATGTTTCAGGAGGGTCTGACTGTGAATTCACAACAATTTTAAGATGTACATTTGCTGATGGTCATAATTCTCTACTTGTCATCAGAATTAGGTTGAATTTTCACTTTTTGAGATTTCAAATCAGATAATTGTAACCACCATTTTAAAAATCTAAGTAAGTGATCTTAAAGGTTAATTATTTTTTTTCCTACATTTCTTAAAAAGTCAAATAATCATTTTAAACCATTAAAACATTTAACTTTATTATTTTGTAGGAGATATATAAAAGTTCAAGTTTAAACTAGTCATACATGGTCATAATTACCCCAACTGATCCTAATATTTATTTTATAAATTTATCTTGTTTGTATATTTTATAATTTTAACATTTAAATGCATTTTGTATTCTTCTGGGTTTGTAATTTTTACTGATTTATAGTTAAAATTAGATATATTGTATGCTAATTTATAGTTATAATAATAATGTATCTTGTTATAGTTCCTTTTTGTTCAAAGTATCTGTTTTTATCTTTAGACTGTTAATCGTGACTAAGCTAAAGTGATGTCCAGTTCAAGAAAGCCCAAAAACTTTTCTTGGGTTGATGATGAAAAACTGGCTGCTTTTGGATGTCCGTCATCTCCAGAAAATGTCAGATACTTACTTGAAAATAATATTAATTACTTAGTTACTCTTTCACCTGAAATGTCTCCTCCTGTTTTTCTTTTTGCTGATATAAACTGGGTTGAAATCAGAGTCAGAGAATTTCATCCACCCAATAACCATCAGATTGAGACTTTTATAAATACCTGTGAAAAAGCTTTTAGTGACAAAAAGGTTTGTCCATATTTTTAAAACCTTTTTTTTTTAGTGACTATTATTAACAAAGTTGCATAGCAAAAAAAAAATAATAATAATAATACTGTTATTAAGCATACATTTCTAAAGTGATTGGAGCAAATTAGAAGCAGTCAGGAGATTGCAAGTTTTGTTTTACTCTCTTCATTCAATATTCTTTAATTCTCTGTTCTCCCANAAAAAAATTATAATCCTGTTATTAAGCATACATTTCTAAAGTGATTGGAGCAAATTAGAAGCAGTCAGGAGATTGCAAGTTTTGTTTTACTCTCTTCATTCAATATTCTTTAATTCTCTGTTCTCCCACTAAATATTCTTAATGTTTATCATTATTATTTTTGTTTCCCATTCAAGTATCCGTTTCTTCACATCCACTTCATTTTTTTCTCTTTTTCTCAATCCATGAATAATGTATCTCAACATTCCTATATCTCATTATTTTATTATCTACTTATTATCTTATTACTGTTATTACTACTCAATACTTTCCCACACGGAATCAAATTTTGCTTTCACTATCATTTATAAGCCTTTCATTTTTTTTGTATATTTTTTTATTGTAAGTAAATTCACCTGTCTCTTAAGTTTTTGAAAATTATCTATTACTGCTGCAATGACGGATAACTTTGTTAAAGTAAAGGATCTTAATAACGGAAATCTAGAAATGCAATGTGTCGTGCTTTATCAAATTTTGTGTTACATATACCATTCCACACATTTTTAAACTTACCTACTAAACATTGTAATATTAGTTTGAAACAGATCAATTTTATAATGATTTAAATTAATTTTCAAACACAAATACTTAAAAAACACAAATAGGCTCTTAAGTATTTATTATTTATAGAAAGAAATTGAAGTTTTCTGAAACATTAGACCTAATAACAAAATAAACATTATTAATTTTGTTTGCTATTTTCTAACTTCTTGGGAAATAATTTTAAAAAAATGTCAAGTTTTTGCTTAATAATATAAATTTCTTAACTTCAATGTTCAGTGTCTCGATTCACAAAGTTAATGTGTTTTATGAAGAAATGCAGATTATAAAATTGTGTTATGTAGATTTTCTGTTGTATTAATAGATGGATAATTTTCGTAATTTTTTTAGAACTTGTTATTTCTTGTATGGTTTTATGATATCAATTATCGGTACTATTGTAATTCAATTCAGAACTCCTAACGCAAGTATAATACTGCTGTGTAATAAAAATAAAAAAAAACTATATGAGCTACAAAAAATCCAAAATTGAAGTTTTTGCCTATTTGGCATTTTTTGTATGATATAGTACTACATATTGTAAAAAACAATGTTTTTCAATAATAATTTTTTTAAATTAGTTTTCTGAAATTCTATTTTAGCAAGAAAGGAAAGAAAATAGTTGTCAAGCTGCTTATCTTGAAGCACTTACATTGTTTTTTCAATTCATGGCAGAATAGGAAACTATTTATTTCACTTTTATGTCTTTCATTTGTAGAAATGTTAGAACTTCAGATTATAAGATCCTAAATCCCTCAACTGATAATAATTGAGCCGTGATGACTCAGGGGATAGAGCATTCGCCTTCCAATGAGGTGAACCGGGTTCAATTCCCAGCGATGGTTAACCGATACAAATTCTGCATCCGGCTCACACCAACCACAGTGAATATCCTCAATGATAAACGGATCATGGGCTAGTGTCTCCTTGGCATCAGGCTAACCATGAGAGGTTTTCATGTTTTTTTTCTTCATGTAACGCAAATGTGGGTTAGTCCTCCCACAAAGGCAAATTTCACCCAATACTTGATCCAGGAGCTCCCTTGTCTTCTGGATTATGTTCAAAATTACAAGAATACGGAATTGAACCTTAGTAGTCGTAAACCTAAAAAAATTGGGTCGGCTGTTCAACGCCGGTTATGAAATAAAATAAAAACTGATAATAATGATAACTTAAATCTTAATATGCTAAATTTCAAATGGTTATTTTGTCAACTATTAAAGTAACATAACTCTATAGTTTTCTTTACTAAATGTACGTCACCATAATTCATTAGATAATTTTGTGTTCCTCTCGAATATTTGCAATTCATAGGTCTCTTTTTATCTAAACTAGGCTGTTGGTGTTCACTGTCGAATGGGAAGAGGAAGAACAGGAGTAATGGCTGCATGCTACTTGGTTAGATTTAAAAATATGAAGCCTGTGAATGCGATTGAATTGATAAGGAACAATAGACCTGGATCCATAGAAACCTATTCTCAAGAAGAAGCTGTTATGGATTATTTTTGGTCTCTTTGTAAGCAAAACCAAAAGAACTAAATTTTAGGTGCTGATTTTGGTCACATTATTATTATTATTTTTTTTTTCATTTTAACCTAGTCTAATGGTTTTAAGTAAAACTACTGTGATATCTATTTATTTATGATATTGGATTTTTTTAATAAAAATTAGAGTAAAATGTAGAAGAATCTCATAGATTTTCAAAAGCATAGAATATATCTTAGAACTTTAAATCGTTATTTTTTTTAAATCTTATTAGTATAATAATTTGAAAGTTACATTTTTACTAATAAAAATATTGTTATCAAAAAAAGAATTTATGGAAACAAAACTTTCTAGATAATTGCGATTTCGCATGTATTTTGTTTCTTTGCTTAGTGATGAATATCTGATCTTCGAAATATCGAGAATGCTATAAATAAGTAATAATTATTTAAATTCTGCATTTGCTATAAAGTTATTCATTTGTATCTGTAGAATGTAACATTTGGATACATCGGTTTAAATCTTTGAAAATTTTGCAAATTAATTTTATGAGCAGGGCCCGCGCTAAGGACTTTAAATATTAGTCGAGTATGGAAAGTAATAGCCAAATTTCAAAAGTCTTAACCAAAGGCAATTCTTAAAAATTTTTTATGATTAATTTTTTCTTTTAGAAAACGTCAAACCGAAATACATATTTTTTATAAATTGAATTATTTTATGAAATTCAAATCAAGAGTCATTTTACAGTTAGGGAGGGGTAAATGAGCACTAAATCAAAGAGAGGATGAAAAATATAGATGTTTTTTTTTTTTTTTCATCTTTGAGGAAAAGAAATAGGAAAAAGTTAGTTGTTGATAACTTCTTAGACTAGAGTAGTTATAAGGATAAACCTGAAGCAACATTTAATGTTTTTTTAGATTCCGACAATCTTTTAAATAAATATATTTCCTTTTAAATAAAACGTTTCTTTTTTTTTATTTCTCTTATTAGTTAATAAAAGAGTTTTTACTGTCTCACTTCTTTCTTAGTGTCGCAATCATAAGCATTGAGAAGAAATTATTTAAATAAGTTACTTAATTCTATTTTATTAGAATCAAAATTTGGGCAGGTGTTTAGCACGTTCATTGCCTGCCAGATGCAGGCAGCCAAATACTACATCTAAAAAGAAAAATCAAAGTTAAGTTTTCTTGTTTTAGCAACCAATTTAGTTTTTAAATTTTACAATAAGTTTATTTCAATAAACAATATGTTATGCTTCAGAGAAGACATATTTTCTGGAAATAGTTGGATGATAATGTGTATCTTGCTTACTGTTTTATTAACTCAAATTGTAGGAAAGAATTTCATAACGTGATATTGCGTGATTTGGTAACGAACATGTTAATTGGTATTATATGGTAGTTTGTTTTATGCTTCCATAATCTGTCTTGTTGCTTACATTATCTGGATTTAGCAAAATTCTAGCTGGTTATGCGATACATCTAATGAAAATTACTGTAATTGAATTTAAAAAAAACAGGATTTGTTCTGAAAAATTCCTTCAACGTAGTTTTCTGGACAGAGGGTATATGTTTCTCTTCAGTAGAAAGATTCGTTCGCCAATGCTTTCACAACACAATTTGATTTATTTCGCCTAATTTACGATTTTATTGCATTTGGGGCGGTGGCGAATGCTTAGCGTGGGACCTAATTGATTTCTGAAATATTGTTATTTATTTTTAGCTCGATTCTGTGTGTCAATTGTTGTGATATTTTGGATTGTTTACCACATTAGTTTATGAATAATAAAAGTTTAGTATGGATTCTTTGAAAAATATTTAAATTTATGTTACTTTTACCCTTAGAGCTTTTGTATTTACATAACATTTAAAAATGAATGACTTGTTTTTCAATCTTTTCCATTGTAAATTGATTTTTATATTTATTCACATTAACTTGTTAAATGATGTATTTTAGATTTTAATTAAATTGTGTGTCATTGATTTAATTATAAATATGCTTTATTTTTATTTGCAATTAAATTTGAAAATATATTTGAACTGATAAAAATTCTTGTGCTAAGATATTGTATGATCTACTGCATTTATTTATTTTAAATTTTTACTTTTCTTATTAACTTACAAGAATTCTAGATTTGATGCTTAAAAAAGCCTAAAATTTTGAATCTGATCTGTTATTGAAATATAACAAACCAACAATGAACCTTGTGTTCATTGAAATCTAACCTTGTATTCATTGAAATATAACAAACCAACAAATGCTGTTGTTGATCTTAGAACTTGTTAATATATTCATATAGTTATATATTTTGTTGAATGATAAATTTTAAAATTTAATTGTTGTTAATTTAAATTTTAGCAATAAAAGTGCATTTACATCATTATTGAAGATCTGATTCTTTTCATAAGTAGGTAATCAACACATTTTTGTACACTGTTCATTTAAAAATTGGTTTATAAAAAAGTGATTTAGAAGAAACTTAAACTTTACATGTTTAAAGACTGTTATAAAGTTTGCAGTGATACAATTTTTAGTTTTTATTTAAAATAATATTTTGAAAATATTTATTAATAAAAAACTAGCTGAAAACATTTTAAATCTTTTTAACCCTTCTTTCTGACTCTAATCAAAATGGTGAAGAAAGTCTTGCTGATGTTTCGGAAGCTCGTGATATTTCCATTCTGAAGTGGTCAAAAGTAACGCTTCACGAGATTAAAATAATCTACTAATTATGCCTGGAATCACATTTATTTCTCAATCTACAAACCGGATGGCAGTACTAGCCTATTTGTTGTGAGTTTAGAGATAGTTTATTTAAAACTAGATGTCAGCACTTATCAAACGATTAAGCAAAAAATAGAAAATGAATACAAATATTGTACAGGCACTTAGCATTATATAATCTTCATGAATAAAAAAATTAGTCATTTTTCTTTAAAATTGTGTGATTATTAAGGGTATAACTTTCTTTTGAAATTATATATTAAAAATTCTAATGCATTATTTCAAGTTTTCAGTTCTTGAGATCATAAGCAGTTTTTCATTTTCTGTTAAACATAGCTGAGTCACCATAATTATTTTTTTCTTGTTTTGATTTTATACCAAAATTAAGTATATAATTCCATTTGATTTACTTATCTTTAATATTTATCTATCTTATATTTACTTTTGGTGTAGTACAGCTGTAACTTACATTTTAAATATACCTGTTGATAAAAATTAAAAAGTTTTTTTATTGTAATCCAGGTACACATTCGAGTTATTTTGCAAAACTGAATATTGATATTTTCTGTAATTATTATTCCTGAATTTTAAATAATTTGTTTTGATTTGATTTTTTGTTGCAGACACAAGTGGAGTTTTTAAATGTTAACATTGTTACATCCGTACAATATATTATATATTTGTATGTAGATATCCACATGTTTACTGTTTAGAACAAATCAGTTTTAGATAAAAATCACTAAAATAATTACGCAAGATATACTTACAGTTAATGTCTTCATATATTTGTTCATATGTTTTTACAATTTGTAATGCATAGAGTAAACATTTTACAATATTCAACAATCAATTTTCACATGTAAAATTTGTAACATCCAACATTTTAAGCACCATACAAAAATTTGTATTTATACAATATTAAACTGGTATTTTCTACTTTAACATCTTCGAAATTTCTTATTAGTCCTTCATTTTTTCTTGTAGTGCTGACTGAGGTAAATATTTTTGAGGCATTAAATCTGAAAGTTTATTAATGCCTTAACTTTTAAATTATATGCATTCAATTTCTTTACATACTAATGTCAGTTATTGATGAATAGAACCACTGTAATGCTCTGTAATGAAAACAATTCCTTTTTATAATTGATGTAAAAGAAATAAAAAAATGATTTTTCAAGCATTGACATATATTAGAATTAAGAAAATGTTTTTACATACATAGCTTGCTACCAGGTTTAAATTTTTTAATTCTTTTTTTAATAACTATTCAGGCCCTAATCCATAGCCTAAATAAGCTCTAGGTTGTCAGATTATATGATGGACTGAAGTTAGATCCTCAGCAGAAGATTGAAGCCCACTCCCCAACTTTAGATCGATTGATAACATCATATCTGAGAAGAAAAGGCGTTTTGCGCAATGCCGATCATATCGTTCGGCGCTAAATTATATTTTTTTAAATAGCCTCTAATCTTATTTTAATGTTTATCAAAAAATTTATAATAAGCAAAATAAAATAAAAGGAAACTAATTTTTTATTGGAAAAAAAGCAACTTATTTTGGAGGCTTGTTTGTTTGGAGTACATGACAATACTTTTTTTTTTAATAATTAATGCACCTTAAATTTATTATTTTGGTTTTCCAGTTTATTTATTTGAATTAAATGCTACTAGATAAATTTTTTGTTTTGGATCCTTATTAAATAAATGCATTTGACCAGTTTAAAAAAACAATCAGGTCTATTTATTTAATTGTAGGGCTTTAGAAAAAATACTTAGATAGAACTAAGGTTTTTTATTCAACATAGTTCGTATTAATGTAAATTTTCAATAGCATTTATCAATGTAGCTTCTGTTAAAAGTAGGATATTTTAAAAATATTTTAATACAATGACAGTATATTAAATGAAAAATGTTTGAATTATCAGGATTTAATTTTTAATTATCCGATAACTATAACGTGCTATGAAATGTACCTTAATACAATCTCTTAAATTTTTCGCTACTCGATGAAAAACTTTATCTCATAACTAATGTTGAACAGCAGATTCATACAGTGGTTTTGCAATCCTTTATGTTGGAATTTTATCTCCGTATAGTAATTTTGAACCTTTAAAACATGAGTTAATGAATAAGTACTTGTACAGCACCTTATTTAATACTTCCTAGAAAAGAGAAGGCCTCAACACGGATTACCATAAACAAGAAATTTGATCCTTTAGTAGTCCAAACATAATAACACCTTTCATAATTACCACAACTGCACAGCTTGGTAACCCGAATGTAGTGGCATCATTCTTATTTTTCATCCACTGCACAGTTTATGTTCGATACGTTGAACTGCCCAATTTATCTGTGCTGAGGCCATCTTTTTTTAGAAGGTGTTGATTAGAGCTGCATAATGGGCTCTTGGCGACGTTCTTTTGATGGATTCGAAGACATACCATCACACTCTTGATCCTCTGAGAGGCGCAATTTAGCAATTTGCAGAGGAAATGGCTCCTCTGCTTTTGTAGCCGGACGACTTGCGCACGGAGTAGAGCACTTTTTGGTATGACACGAAGACCGATATCTCATACCCTCGGTTCCATCGCAAGCTGATCAAAGTGGTCTCCCACCCACTCGTTGACAGCTGCGAGTGATGCTTGACTTCAGTGATCTACTGTGCACAGTATGTTGAGCAGTAGATTCATATAGTAGTTTTNATTTAATTTTTAATTATCCGATAACTATAACGTGCTATGAAATGTACCTTAATACAATCTCTTAAATTTTTCGCTACTCGATGAAAAACTTTATCTCATAACTAACGTTGAACAGCAGATTCATACAGTGGTTTTACAATCCCTTATGTTGGAATTTTATCTCCGTATAGTAATTTTGAACCTTTAAAACATGAGTTAACGAATAAGTACTTGTACAGCACCTTATTTATGTATTTGTATAGCATCTTATTTAATACTTCCTAGAAAAGAGAAGGCCTCAACACGGATTACCATAAACAAGAAATTTGATCCTTTAGTAGTCCAAACATAATAACACCTTTCATAATTACCACAACTGCACAGCTTGGTAACCCGAATGTAGTGGCATCATTCTTATTTTTCATCCACTGCACAGTTTATGTTCGATACGTTGAACTGCCCAATTTATCTGTGCTGAGGCCATCTTTTTTTAGAAGGTGTTGATTAGAGCTGCATAATGGGCTCTTGGCGACGTTCTTTTGATGGATTCGAAGACATACCATCACACTTTTGATCCTCAGAGAGGCGCAATTTAGCAATTTGCAGAGGAAATGGCTCCTCTGCATTTGTAGCCGGACGACTTGCTCACGGAGTAGGGCACTTTTTGGTATGACACGAAGACCGATATCTCATACCCTCGGTTCCATCGCAAGCTGATCAAAGTGGTCTCCCACCTACTCGTTGACAGCTGCGAGTAATGCTTGACTTCAGTGATCTACTATGCACAGTATGTTGAGCAGTAGATTCATATAGTAGTTTTGCAATCTCGGGGACGCTAACGAGTAAAGGACACGCTTTCTAGTAAAACATTTGTTTTAGTCGCTTCTTTTCAATATAAACGTAAATTATTCTATACTGAAAATGTAGTAAAATGCTTTCAAAACAATTTCTTGTCAAGTTATTTAAAAATAGAATTATTATTATTTTTAAATAAACACTAAGTTAAAAGAAATTATTTTTCAACATTCGTTAAAACGATTTCTCGGTTTCAACTTGCTTTGATTGCTATATCCTTTTATTTATAGCCTAATTACTACAGCAGACGAAAAGCAGCGACTTCCAAATTTTTTCAGATGTATTAACTTGTTAAAAAATAATTTTTTGAAATGTATTAAGAGGTGTAAAAATTGAAAAAGCAATTGAACCTCAAAAGCAATTTCATGATAATTATCATGAACCTCATTCTTTTTTGAATTGGATTTTTGAAATTAATCAGAATGTTTTGTCTAATCCCGTGGCTGTGCATGCCGTGTTAACGTTATAGTTTCGAGGCTTAGGTTTATCAGATCAAATTTAATTGGATCTCTGCAAGAGACGTCATGCACGTGATTGGCTGTATATAGTTGGGTGAGTATCCAATTGTAACTAACTTTTTAACTAATGAAGATTTTCTAAATTATCTTTTCCGTTGAGAATATGAAATTATTTTATTTATAATTATTTAATTGCAATTTTGTTATTAAAAAAATTAATATGAAAAATAAAATACTTTATTATTATTATTGATATTAATGTAAATAATTATACTAAATTTAATCTGGAGTGGGGACCAATCTTTTATTAGATTGACCGGGATATATAGAGTTAAACGATCTTTAAAAACTCGGAAAATAGCTTTACATGGGAAATAAATTTTATTACCTTCTGGATTAAAAACCCTTGCATTTTGTAAGCTCTGTAAATCAATGCCGTTCGCTGATATTAAATCCATTCCTTCTAAAGTAGGCCAAGATCTGCTAATTTTGTTGTCTCTGTAAAAAGAAAAACAAAAATGTGTTTATTAACAAAGGTGCACTAACCGTCTAATTAATTTGACGAAACATTTTTATGTTTACTGTAAATGACCGTTAAGGAACAGAAGTGACATTTTACCCATTCAAATTAAGTTATTTGTCATGATATTTATGATTTAATGAATTTAAGGCTTTTAAATTGTTTTAATAAAAGGTTCTGAACGATTGTAAAAAAAAAAAAAAAAATTTCCTTAGGGAAAAATAAATTTGATAAAGCCAAGGAATACGAATATCACACTTTCTGAAAAATGACTGTTATTTAAATTAAAATACAATTTACTAACATTTTAGAACTTTTTTCTTTCTTTGAGCTTCAAGTGACGCTGAATGTTAGATTGTTCGTTTCTTACGTAATATTTTTGACGTTTTTTTTATTATTTTTTACTCTTATTTTTTTAAATTTTTTTTTACAATTTTAAAATGCTGCATCTCAAAACTTATCACAGATAACTGCATATAATTTGAAATAAGCATACTTTAATCATATTACTTTTATTGATTTTAAGGAAACTCGTGATACATTTTTAGTTTTTGTTTTTAAATATCAAAAAGAAAAATGACGCAATTTAAATTTTGTTTTATAAGTCTAATTGCAAAAAATGTTGAGGAAAAATTATAAACATTTTTCGTTAAAATAAACTACTAATTTAAACATTGAAGCATAATATTTTCGGTTACATAAAAAGTTAGAAACATTAATTCTTTTAAAGCTTGTCATTTTTAATTGTCACTGACTTTCAAGAATAGAAGTACCTTATAAGATTTCGGATGCCCCTTAAGGGTCATAAAAGGAATATAAATCCCCACCCCCTCAAAAAAGGAATTTTACTTTATACATGTTAGTTTACGGCGAATTTTATGACCTCAATTTATTAAGTTACTAATTAGGTTTTTTTTTTTTACTCCTATTTCAATCCCTAATCGTCCTATTTCAATCGATCTTCTATTTTAAAAAATTCGAGTTCTAAAATTACTCAGAACTTTCAAATTTTGTCACACTATTCAGTCCAGCATAAATCTGTATATAAAAAAATGAATTGAAAATATTCAAAAGCATGTATTAGCTATTCAATAAATGAAGATATAGCGTCTATTTCTCTGTAGGTTAACATATTGGAAGTAGAATTTCTTTTCTGCCTGAAGAAGGTTTTTCTTAAAATTAGTAGCAGTGGTCAACAAAGACGTGAAATAAAGTTTACAATCATCTCAAGAAATGAAGTCATTACTTAAACGAGTTGTTCAAATTTCTCGGGAATTGTATTCCACCTCTAGGGTCATCGTTTTTCTTTACTTTTGACTTTTCTTCCTTTTCTTTGTTACGCTAAAAATACAAAAGATAGCAATAAAAAGTACAAACGTATAGATTGTTTTCTACTCAAAAAGTATTTAAGTTCAATCCATAAAAAACTTAATGAAATAATTGTATATCAGAAAATATATCTTTATTTCTTGATTTCCTGTTAATTCACGAGATTTTAATTTATTGAAATTGAAAATTTCCGGGCAGGCATTAATGTTTAAGGGTAAATTTTTCAGAAAAATCGGAATTAATAAAAACTTAGTGAATAAAAATATAGAAGGAATTTTTCAACCATTAGAAAATAATTTCTATGATATATTATTCTTTTAATATTATTATTTTCGTAAAAATAGAGAAAACTTTGATACCAGACATACTTTTTTTCCCGTTATTATATAAGTTAATAACAGGTTTCATGGATTAATCTATAAGATTAATTCAGTGATTTGAATCACCTAAAATTTCTGAAAAGACTATGAAGTCATGAATCGGTACGAAGAAAAATTTGTTGAGTGATATTTATACCACTTACAGTATTTTTTTTTTTTTAAATAATTTGATATTTAAGCTGACATTTATTAATATGATATTTAATTTTCTAAATTCTTCTATGAAAGAACTTATTAAATAGAAAAAGAAAAAGGGCGGTAAAAGATGGTAAGTTATATTTTAAAAATGATCGAGTATTCTAGGTTTAAAACATTGTGCGTAACATGTCAGTGACGAAAAACATGTGAAATGATTTAATGAAAACGCTCCAATTTTCTGGATTTAAAATATGGTGTATCAATTTGTTTTTCTAAGAATTTAAAAAGGCGTTTTTCAATGGGTTTATGTGTTTCGTAGAAAGTTTAATGGGGATTTCAAATTTTCCCATACTTATTTTCTCAAATTTACTACAATATAACTTAAACTAGGAGGCTCCGCCCCCTGCTCGCTAACGCTTGCCAACCCCCGAGAATTGCTACGCAATCCTATGTGGTTCACGCCGTGAACCATGGCTCGCTGCGCTCGCTCGCCAATGAACACAATGTTCTAGCACAAAGACATAATATATTATCATCAAAGACATAGTATTTTATCATCAAAGACATAGTATTGTACTTATGTAGAAGAATTCTACCAATGTTCTTATTGGCTTTTAAAAAAGTATATTAGCTATTTAGATTGTACATGGTGAAAAAATCAAAACATTAGCTAAATAAGAAACATATTAGCAAAATAAATTATCAAATATTGCTTCACTAATATTCTGCATTTTAAAGCGTGAAAATTCAATGCATAAATAAACGCGAAATATAAAAAAATTCAATGCATTCAATACAAACACTTAAACGTTTTTTAGACGTTTAGGTAGCTCCCAGTAGAAAAATATCAATTCAACAGCGGCCTTTTAAAGCATTCTCACTTCAATTAATTAATTAATTCCTAATTGAGTTTAAATTAAATATTGTCATGTTTTTAGTGCATGAATCTGAATTGAACAACCTGATAATGCTCACTCTGGTTATTGTTATCTGGTTGCTCACTACGTGCTCTTGCGCGCCGAATCCAATCAATTAAAAATGAAAACTGTTGCCAGCGCGAGAAAAGAAATATCATCGGTTTTATTGATACATACATACGTATTAGCGTTTTATATAATATAGATTCCTCCACTTCTTTTTTCAATTGTGATATAAATTTTGCTACAGATTGAAACTTGTTCCCCTTAATTGTTGTTCCCCTTAAATGAGAAAGGAGAGGGAAAAAAAAAACGTTTTTAAGTTCTGATTCATCTCAATTGCGACCCATCAAAACAAAGAGAGGTTAGTCTAAACTTGTTTATTTAGAAGATGTAGCTTAAAGATGTTTTCTAGTGAAAGTGAAATATATACTAGTTCTACTAGAGCTAAATAAGCTAGTATTTTTATTATTTCAACCCCTTAATTGATCCTCATGGCGTCAAAAATATTTGGACAGCTTTTAAAATAGTTTTTTTTCTTAATTTGTGAACCTAATTTGCAATGTTTTCACTATTTCTTTTCTTTACAAAGATTCTAAAAAAAATAGGTAATAAATGTGACCATTACATAACACCCATTATTAATTCAGAGAAAAATAGATAAAAATATTGAATTTAGTACATTTTCATTCTCTTGCCATAAGTCCGTGTACCATCTATCACTGTAATCTGGATGTATGTTTACATTCCTTGATTTTCTTCGTCCCATTATTCTTGACACTTCAGAAAAGTATGGGTATCGGAGTGCCTATTAATAAAAAGTTGCATTTATGCGTAAATTGTAGATTTTTAGATATTTGTTTTTGAAAACATAATTACATATTTCTCAATAAAAAAGAAGTTGTTAATGCATCTTAAACTGCATAAGTATAACTAAAAATAGATATCGCCTTCTGCAGACTGTCACGTATAATTTAATTCATGCATATTTTCAGCTAATAGCATTTTCTTGATACTCAAAACTGACTTTTTTAGGAGATTGCTGAGTAGTGTTGATTATTGAAATAAAGAAATTGATATTTCTAATTAGATTTAATGAATTTTCTTAAATTCTCATTTTTTAGACATATTTTTTAGCTGGAGGGAAAAGGAACAAATAAGCACGAAATAGTTATACTGTAATATAACAATGCTGCTTTTTTATGAACTATCTTTTTCAATGCAAGTTTACTTGTTAGTAGAAAAAAATTTTTTCGAGAAATTTTAAATTAGATGTTGGTTAGTGAAATAAATTGATGATAAATATTTGTAAATTTGTGATACGGTATATTCTATTATTTATTTATGAAAATAATTAAATTTTAATTAAGAATGGATTTCGTTATATATATAAAAGGCATGAAAATAAATATAATAATAATATTTTTATGAACATAACGAACATGGAATATAATAAATGATATTTTTATGTTATTTTGATTGAAATAAATCGAAATGTTTTTAAAATAAAATTAAGAAAGTTTCTTTTCTAGAACTACTAAAATAAAGGCAATTTCTTCGTTAAAATTTTCTATAAGCAATTTGCTAAAATAAGTTTGCAAATATTAATAAATTGCTGTAGAATTTGTTATAAAAAAAATGTCACGCTTTTTACGTTCTAAATTCTCGAGAAAATGATTTCGTTTTAATGGTTTAAAGAAAGTATTATTTATGAATGAAACTTTTCGAGATACTTATGCGGTAAAAAGACAGTAACAGTTTATAATTTTTGTAAAACGTGAAGGACAATTCTAACTTATTTCTACAGAAAAAAAAAATAATAATACTTTCTTGTACTTAAAATTCTAACATGAGTCTTAATTTAGTCTTCTTCTGCTATCGGTGAATCTTATTTGACCCTGGAGGAGAATTCTGTAAAAGTTGTTTTCTTACATAGCCAGTAATTCCGAGGGCAAAACAACATTTCAGATTTTTTTTAAATCATCATAATGTTTTTCCTTCTTTCTTTTTTTTAATCTTTTCTTTTCTAGAGTTCATTAAAAACAATTTTAGCGTTCGATATTACAGTTATAATTCAAGATACTTAAAATCTTATTTTTTAAACTAGTGACTACCTAAATGCTTTAGTAGTCACGAGTTTCGAAAAATAACAGCAAATAATGAATGTAGGTTTTAATTTAATTATTTGAATAATATCTAGTGATTTCTTTGTAATTGGAGGATTTTAGTTTCGCTTAATAAGAAAGAAAGATATATTATAACGTTACACATATTTTTATCAATATTTTAATTATGATTATAAATTTTAAAAAAATTGAAAAATACTTTTTTTTATTTTTTAAAATCAACACATTTGCTGATCTTCTTATTTTGTTTAATGCATAATTTTATTAAAAAGATAACTTTATGTCAGAGTTAGACTGAAATACGGAATAGCGAAATACGAAAGAAACAAAAATATAGAGCTTAAAACAATGAATTAATAACAGTAAATGTTGATTCTAGTCTTCAACTATGTATAACGTCAACTACCTTGTTTTCATACAATTTTGTACCAATAATTACATTTGATTGCAGGCTTTTTTATAATTGAATGCCTTTCAGATGCAATTGCCATCGTTGGTAAATTGTGACATTTGTCGATGCTGAAGATAGTCATGTTCGACATACATGCGTGACGTAGAGGCATCAAAATAAATCTGATTTAAATTCCATGATTACAATTCTTCGCGAGTTGTAAGTACCCAATGGCACATTTATAAGTCAAGATAAATATAAGAATGCTCCCACTTTGTGAATGCATATAATAAAATAAAATTATTCATATCATCCATTTGATTTGATATCATTTATTGATTATTATCTATTTATTTATACCTTTACATATTTCTAGAAATTTACTTTTAAACGAGTTTTTCGGTTTTATATGAATCCCTAAACTTTTCCAAACATAGGAACTGTTTGCTCATTTATTTTTATTTAGATGTTATGTATTGAATATATACTTCTATTATTANCTGCACAATCGAGTACACAATGACACATTTATAAGTCAAGATAAATATTAGAATGCTCACACTTTGTGAATGCATATAATAAAATAAAATTATTCATATCATCCATTTGATCCGATATCAACTATTTGATTTGGTATCATTTATTGATTATTGTCTATTTATTTATACATTTACATATTTCTAGAAATATACTTTTAAACGAGTTTTTCGGTTTTATATGAATGCCTTAAACTTTTCCAAAAATAGGAACTGTTTGCTCATTTATTTTTATACAGATGTTATGTATTGAATGTATACTTCTATTATTATAAACAATATATATATATATATATGTGTGTGTGTGTGTGTGTTTTTCTTTCCTTAGCTGTTAACAAAAATATTTCTTATTATTCTCACCAATACAGCAGTCGGCCTCAAACTTGGATTCCATTTCAACATATCGGTGAAAATAGCCAATCCTTCTATACTGATACCTGGAACCACATCTGCCAATGATAGTCGAGAGAATTTCGGAAAATGAAAATTCATTTGAGTTGCTAGTTGATAACCTTCAGGCCATTCTCCCTGGAAAGAGAGCAAAATAATATTTAAATTAGTTTATTTAAAATTTTTCCCTATATTGAAAGAAAAAATGAACACAAATATTTTAAAATTTTTGCAAATAGTGGAATATTAGAAAATTAGCATAAATACTATAAGAATATTAAGTGCTTATCAGCGAAACTAACATCCCGAATCGAAAATTTTTTGCACCTGATTGGATGTATGTGAGTGACGTCATCGGTAAAACCGTGGTATTTGTGGATTCAAAAGCCAATCAGGTTTGACAACAGGTATCCAGTTAAATACAGATTTAAATCACATGGTTAGACATAATTATTTCACTTCTTCTCGAGTAGCAAATACCCAATTATAAAACTAGTTTTTCACTCATTCGATTATAAGTCATTAATTTAATTTAATTTTTATTTTTTCTATGAGATAATGCAGACACTTTTTACATTAAAAATGAATATTTTACATGAATATACTAATTAATATTAGAAATAGTTTTTTACCCTATCAGGCGTTCCTAATACAGATGATATCCTAAAAATTTGATCTATTTCACTTCTTCCAGGAAATAGTGGTCTAAGATTATATAATTCTGCCATAATGCAACCAAGTGCCCAAATATCAATCGGAGAACTATAATTTGTTGATCGTAAGAGTATTTCTGGAGCCCTGTACCTGCAAAAAGAATTCATTTCATTGTTTATTTCCCTATTTATTATTATGAGTTTCATAAACTTTTAAATCGTGCAAATAATAAATGAAAGCATTACATGCTGCACGTATTTTTAGTTGTTGGATTCAACCAGTACGTACCCAAAACTACTTAAAAATATACGAAGTAATTGAAACATTGAAATCACTTGCAGTTAATTTAGTGGATAAACTTCATCATTAATAGTAGCTTTTATTTTGTGGGAAGAAATCTGCGATTAGAGATTCCTAAATTTGTTTCCTGATTTTTATAGTTTAAAAAATTCTGATATCTTCCTTTAATCCCATTTAATGTGCAGAACTCGTAAATAAAATCAAAATTTCACAAAACAAGTTTTTCAACTAAATAATTGAGTTGAGGGTAAGTTTTACGTGACATTTTAGTGAATATGAGTAAGCAAGTTTTAAAATTTATACTTTGATAACAGAAAATAAAGATTTTTTTTTCTTACCCGCAAGTTTCCAATGAATGAAATATTAAGAATAAGTCTCTAAAATTAATTGAAACTGCTTCATAGAGTTTGAATTCCTTTTACTTTGCTGACCAAAGATAGATTTAATAAGATTCTTCGTCCACTGTTTGTTATCAAATGTACTAGAATCTAGAGTTTCCATGACTAACATAGTTAAAGAGTTACAACATGCGGGTTAAAATTTTTCGGAAAGGATCGAAACTATCGTATACTTAACATGATTTTAACCATAACTAGTAATCGACAAGATATTTCTATCGGACAGAATGTCGAAAGTATGATTGCGTTTCTTACTTTTCATTTAAATTTTAATCAAAAATAAATTTGTATTATTAATTAACAATTTAATCTGTTAAAAAATCAAACTAGGAAGGAGAAAAATCAAACACGGAGGATGTTTTATCTCTTTTTAGTAGAGAAATGCGCCGATTATCCGGACTAATCGGGACCAAAGCCGATCCGGATAACTGAACAACTTTAAAAACTGGCGATGAGAATGTTATGAAGTCTTCACACTTTTGACAGGTTTAGGACTGGCAATTGTAGTAGTGCCTGTAATAGCATACCAATAATGGCGTGTTGTTTAAAAGATTTAAATTTATTTTTTGAAGTAAAATTCTAAATTTACTTTTATTAAATTTGTTTTATTTTTGCGAAATTGATAGACAAAATGTGTTTCAAGACTGTTTCGTTCTTTTTCTTAAAAGAAAAAATTCATGGAAATTCCCTTACTGGAAACTATTTGTAATTTGCCACCCACACTGAAACTAAAGAACGAACAAGAGGTCCTTGACAAGGTCACAAAGGGATAAAAGAAGACATTTTTTGTCCCTATTCTGAAATTTCGAAAATAAAAAAAAATAAAAAACTTCGCGATATTTCTTTTCTTTTTTGGAGAATATTGAATAAAACACAAGGTCTTTGAACGATCCGAAAAACTGGGCAAGCCGGTAAATCGGCGTTCTAATGTATGCTATAGTTAAAGTCTGGGTTTTTGTTTTATAAATTCAAAAATAGTATATGTACTCACCACCTCGTTGATACATAATCTGTGTATGGAGGCCTTGACCTGATTTCACGAACCAGACCAAAATCAGCAATTTTAATGAGGTCTATGCCCATACACAAAACGTTCTCAGGTTTCAAATCTCTGTGAAAAAACCCGTGTTTGTGCATAAATGACAATCCCTGAAGAATTTGGTACAATATGTTTTTGATTTCGGATTCGTGAAAAGGACGATCCCTGTAATAATAACAATAAAAATTCTTATAACCATTTTAACAAATACCATTATACCATTTATAATACCATTTTGATTATTTATATTAGATGTTATAAATAATCAAGAAACTCAAGAATCAGTACTCGAGAAATTCACTTTTTATTTTGAGAGTAATTTTTTTTCCCGTAATATTTTATGCAAAAAAGGAATTTTTTACCGAGAATTGCAATATTCACGAATTAAAGTGAACTAATCAGAAGTGAGTAAATTTAGTCTCATTAGGTGTAAAAGATTTATAATAAATAAAAAAAATCTGATAATTTTGACCGAAACGAAATTTTAACTCTGATTTATGTACTCAGGATTTAACAGTCTTAAGTGAAATCTAATTAAAAAAAACTAGATACAATATATTTTATTTTATAACCGGCGTTGATTTTATAATCGGCGTTGATTTTATAACCGGCGCTGAATTGGCATTGGCCGATTCCGAGTTTACTTCTCAGAATTGGTCTCAATGCTCAACTCCGTAGCCTTTTAATTTGTAACCCAACCTAAAAGACTAGGGAACTTCTGGATTAATCATTTGGGACAAACTAGCCTTCGTAGAGGACTTTTTGATGGAACTAACCAGCATTTGCTTTACATGGAGTGGAAAACTATAGAAACCGCCCATGGTTAGCTCGACGTCAAGAGGATCTGTCTACCACTGATGATATTTTATGTCAGTGGTCGGTTGGAGACAATCTAGTGACAAGCCTACAACAAGTAGTAATGTTAGTGACAAGTTCATTATTTACGATAGTAGTTATGTTAAATGGATTTTCAAAAACGATTTCAATTTTAAAAACGCGAAAATAGAAATAAATAAAATGTAAGAAATTCCAGATCAAAATTCAGTAAAAAGTATCAGCACTCAAGATGTAGGTACTTTTTACCGTAAAATCCATTTTTCCTTAACATGTTACGAAATAAAAAATATAGTATACTATAAATTTTAAAGTAATAATTACCACAAAAATCTCTTAATCACTCTAGTTAAATAAATATTACTGTAAAAGTTACTGTATAATATTTTATGGCAAAAACAAATTTTACGGCAAAATTACATTTTTTATGGATGATGCACCCAAAGTGCCTGTACTTTATACCGTTAATGTGATTCGAAATTTTTTACAGTGTTTACCAATCCAAACGTAATAACTGTACTATCTCGATATTTGAGATATGTCTTAAATTTTAAAATACGTTTTAAATGCTTTAAATAAAGTAAGGTTCTGTGTTTTATATGTTTAAAATACAGCGAGTATTAGTTATTAATTTACGATTGAAAATTATTTGAAAATAAATTAATAAAGAAAATAAAAATTTTCAAGATTTGACAACGGCAGTCTTTCGTTTCGAAAATCAGTTCTCTCAATATGTATTCTATATCTAGAAAAAAATGTTTGACGCATAAACTTTACAGAGATTCTCAGTTTTATCAAATAATTAATCTTTATTTAATATTTTATGTTTAAAAAGCATCATACATTACCTTCTTTTCATCAATTGATAAAGGTTTTCTTTCATGTACTCAAACACAAAGTATAAAGTGTTATCTTCTCGTATCACTTCTTTTAATTTCACCAAATTGGCGTGGCTTAGTTTCTTCAGAGACTGAAACAACAACAACACGATTCTTTTTTTTAATGATGCGTCAAGATTAAAGATAGTTTATAAAAGTTGATATTTTCTTGCAACTTTTTTTTTCAAAAAGTTAAAGTTTTATGAAATTCTCACCTTTACTTCTCGTAAGCTCATGCATTCATCCCAGGAATAATATTTCTTTTTCATTCTGAAATAAGAGAAATAATTGTAAATTGTTTATTTCATTGTAGTATATAGAAGCAGATAATTGTGCAATATCCTCACTGAAAATATCTTAAGAATTTCATCAGAAAAAAATCATGGCAGAAATAGCCTGGTGGGTAGGGTGTTAGGCCCATGTCCAAGAGGTCAAGACTTCGATCCCCACCGGCCGAAGACTCCTCGTGTAGTAAATGGTGATTGGTGCCCATTAAATCTGTCGGGTCGCAAAATCCTCCATGTTCCCATAACAAATCATACACCTGGGGGTACTGAATTGGAGATTGATTGTTCTCTGGTTCCTCTGTGGATGAATGAATAGATGTATGAATAGGTCCGCCCTATAAACGGGCTGTGATATGTATGTGGCTAAAGTTGTATTCTGGGCCATAGGTAGCGCCACTGAAGACAAGAAACCACTGAAAACAAGATGCCGCCACTGAAAACGCATTCTCTGCCTTAAATTCGCCAATGAGTCTCCAAGCAGGCTTGCTGGTAATTCCAAGTGGGATTAGAAACAACAGAAAGAATAATTCTTTCATCAGAAGTCTTCAGGTACTTTGAAGATATTTTACTTTTTCTTTAAAATATCTGCAGAATTTTCGTAGACACTTTAAAGTCATTTTGAAGATTTTAATTTTCCTCCTAAACATCATCAAATTTTTTGTTATCCATTATCAAGTTATGAAGTAATTATTAATAATCGATTACTAATATTATACTAATTATCAAGATTAATTCGATTGCTGATAAATGCAAAATTCATTTTATGGAAAATACCGGCAAAAATTTGTAAGTATTTTAAATATTAATATCTTAAGATCTAAAAAAAAAAAATTTGAATCATTTTATTTATGAAAATTTCACTGTGGTATTTCCTTTTAAACAACTTTAGCCTCATATAACGTTATTTGTGGCAAAAATTCTCTAAGAGTAGTAATAGATTTAAGCCGAAGTTTCTTTTGAAAGATTTATCATTGCACTTTTGTAATTATTCTATTGGATGAAAGACTATTATTTAATATTACTAGGAGTCTCTGCCCTCTTCTCGCTACGCTTGTCAAACCCAGTAACTGCTTCTCATTCATCATTGTTTATTTCTTCCTAAATGTAAATATTTCCCACAAAAAACTGAACATTTTGGTTTCAACATATGCAATTATTATAGCTTTATGTGATAACACTTTGTTAATGAGTTAATCGCGATGAAATAGATGATTACCTAGATTTTAAAAATGATCATCTGTACTTGAAACAAAATTAGCCTAAGGAATACAGATTGTGAAACTTAAGAGAAAATAAATGCTGAGTAATTTTATGTGTTGAAGGTGCTCATAATAATTCAAAGAGGGAGTGTTTTTTTTAATCACTATTAAGTCTTTATTTCTTAAAATTTCCCTATTAATACTAAGATTTATATCTGACAACATGTAATCTCTCTCCCTTTTTTGCTACTTTTTATTGGAATCTACTCGATCTCGAGCTTAATGAGATAAAAAAATAAGGATCTCGTGAGCGAAGAATAATTTTTCTACAGCAATGGAAGAATAGTCAATATTTAAAGCAAGAAAGTTGGGGGAAGAGCACGAAAAAGCAATTAAATAGGCAATTAGTTTAGAATAAATTAGAATTTGAAAAAAAAAATCAATTAAATTCCTTGCAAATGTGGCTATTTTGGCATGCCAAATTTCAATAGTGTAAATGCATTTCTAACGCTTGTAGAGCTGTCCGCGTGATTAACAGTTAATAATTCTCGATCAAATTATGGAATGCTAAACTTATTTATTACATCGAAATCCATGTACACTTTTCTATACACCTAAGTATATTTCAAGCATCTAAGTCTTATAGCTTTTATGCAACAAAACAAGATGTAATATTAAGTTAAATACCCAAATTATCGTCGGCGGTGCTTGTACAATTTTTAAGGTACAGTATTTTAAAAAAATAAGACTGCATTCACACGCTATATTTGAAACACGCGTTAAAATTGTTTTCAAAAGTTTGAAGCACAATTTTTATTTTGAAAACGGTATTGAAATGTCGTAAAGCAACCAAAAAGTAATATTTTATAGAGGAAATTTTTTTCTTCTTTGAGCAAACGATTTATTAAATTTCGTATTTCCGAAATCGTTTTCTAGTTTTCCATATTAAGCTTTTACTTTTGAATAAGATAAGATAAATCAAGAAACAAGTAATAAATGAAGAAGGATTGTAAGGTATGAAAATTTTGAACATCTTTCAAATATTCTTATTAGAAAATATGGATGTTCCTCTATACTTTAACATTTGGAGAAAACAGGTTTAAATAATTAAAAATATATGAAACCTGTCATATTAACTTAAACTAATATAAAGTGTGATTATGAACTTTTTTAAACAGTATTTCAAAATTTAAATATTTAAATTTTTTAGAATATGTATAATTTTTTTTAAAGAAACACGAATAAACCATGTGCTTTATTCACTTTCCCCTTTCTTTTTCGAATTTACAAATCGTTCTAATGCTACTAGTTCAATCAAAAAATATTGTTTTAAACTTGTTTTTGAAGACAAAAACTATTTTTCTAGAGCAATCATAAGCATCGCTCGTTCATTACCAAAAACTTTAAAACATTTCACCAAATTTAAATGCACCAAATTTATGCCACCCCTTTTACAAAATTTCTAAAAACGCGTAATTTGTTAAACATTAATTTAACAAGCATTCAAATGTTTTTCTTTTCTTTTTCATTTCAATTTCTTAAACCGCGAAGCATTCCTTATTTAAACAGGAGCAAAGTTTTATTTTAGTAGTTCTTATTTTCTACTATAAATACTCAACGTATTATCAGCCACTTTGAACTTTGTACTAAAATAATTAAAAATTGATTTTTATGTTTATCGTTTCTTTTTTTTTTTTTAACGATTTTTGTGAATCAATATATTGATTTCGATTGGAAGGAACTAGGAAAAAAAGGCAATAAATATTTCCCGCATGTTATTGATTGTTGCTGAAATAATTACGTGCCACAATGGCAACAATTTATACATGAAGGAACCACCATTTTGAAAGAAGCAGCTCATAAAAAAAAACCGTTCGCAAACTTTTTGACGATATAAAAATATAAAGAAATAAACTTAATGTATACAACAACGAATAAATAAACTATGAGTACAAAAAACGACGAACAAGTTTTTAAAAGTTAATAAAATGAGAGGAATAAATATGATGACAATTATGATTAGCTTTAGATCCTGTATTCTTCATCTACTTTAATTACTGCATACACCAAGTGCCCCACAATTTTTAGTAACTCATATTTTTAGATAAATTAAGAAATTATGTATTCATATTTTACATTACAAATAAATACCTTTAATACCAATACCTTAATATTTTTTACGAATTCTTTTTATCACCTAGTTTTTAAAACTCTATAAGGGGCATCGATCAATGTTAAATTAAAAAAATTTTAAACTCATTATCTAGCAATCAACAAGTTGGTAATAATAGACAAAATTAATTCAACGTAAACAAAACTGTGTTAAATTGATCCCATAAGCGTATCAATAAAGGTGTTGGTAGAGTTTATTAGAACAATAGTTATATTTTAGAACTGTTTATAGATAGTGTTACTTTTTAATGGCGACTTTTTCTCCAGTGTCGAGTCTCTTCCCGAGTACAACGTCTCCATAAGTACCGTCACCCAAAGGACTTAAAGTCACGTATTGATTCATGACGACATCCTCTACTCCTACCCATCAGCATCTACAATTAGAATAAAAAACGAATTAATTCTATGTAATCATAAAATACAATGTACAGTTCGTAAAAGAAAAGGAATTACTTTTGATTGAATGATCGAATCTTTACGCTCTAGGACTCAATCTTAGTCAGACAAATTGCTTTTTACCCATTGGTAAAATGGGTGTTGTTTTGTGTTTGATGGCCTGCGCACCTTATTTGGACGTCATCACACTTTTCAACTGTGTTCAAGAGTAATAGCAAACAGTGCGCATGCGTCGTCATTGCATGCGTTGCTATGGCGACCGTTGCCATTTGATAATTTTTTTTTAGAATTCCTATTTTCATTTTTTATTTTGTTATGCAATAGGTTGCTGAGTTTATTTTTGAGATATGGGAGCAGAGAGATTCCATAAATACTTCTTGAATAAAAAAAATTTCATCATCTGAACTATATTTTTGTTTTTATTGCTTTAATTAAGAATCAGAAATTTTAACCTACTGTTCAAACTGGATCGTTTTCAATACTAATTGAGGTGAATATCACAAATAAAGATCGTAAAAAAAAAATTCGACAACAACCATGTTGCCAATTTGTAACCTGTGATCACCTTTTGGTGACCACAATTTTTTAATTATTGTGTGAATTTTTAAAAAAATTAGCAGTATAGATATTTTTATCGATGTCATAATGTAGCAGAGATATGGGTCTCGAGGTAGCTGATCAATATCAAGACTTGGAAAAAAAAAATCATGGAATAAATTTTGCTCGGAATTACGAGAAAGGACTGAAAGTAAAAACTTGTGACCTCATAGCAGCAAGTGACTAATAAAACAACCATAAAAAAACGTGGTCTAATAAAATTAGACAAGTATCAGATGTGAAAGGGAAGACAAAATCAGAAGATAGAATTTATTGGAAAAAATCCTTTTTTCAGTAGTTTAATAATAGTGGAAATTGATAGCGACTGTGATGACAATAGTCTGTGATAAAAATTTATTTATTTTGTTTATTTATTTTAAACTTTTTTCTACTGGAACCACAAATTAATATTTCGCCGGAGAGAACAAACATCGAAAGTTATAAATTTTGAGAAAAATAATTTCAATTATTATTATTCATTCTTCGTTATTGACAAGCATACACGCGACTAAAAACGAAGCAAGCTCTTTAAAACAGTACATTGTATCAATGCTAGGAAATAAAATCATAGACATACATTGACAAAAATGATGGATGATAGTTTGTCCTATCTACGAAAGCAACTTCCTGAAAAGGGAAAACTCGATATTCACTCAAGATGTATAGTGCTTCTTTTTTTCTACTCAATTTTTCGTTTAAAACTTCAAAATTTTCCTATGAACGTAAATTTCTTGATAAGATAAATATACTGATTTGATAGATGAATTTTTAAGATACATGTCTCTTTCATTAAAAAATTTTTTTATAATTAGTTATTTCACGAAATCAATATTTATAGGTTTTTCACCTCTAATTTTTATGAGCGTAAAATATTCATACACTATTCATGTTTCCGTACCTATTTTTTATTGGACCCAGTATCTTATTTAAAATAAAAATGATAAGTCGCGAGAAATGTGTAAAATGCTGTAAAAATGTTTTGAAATTAACGAATAAAAAGCTTTGTTTTTGTTACCATATATTTTATAGGTCTAAGAATCTAATTTTTATTAAAAATGGTAAATAACTATAAATATGTAAAATGCGATAAAAATGTTTTCAAATTATCAAATGAAATTTTTGTTTTAGGTTTCCATACCTGTTTTATCGATCTAAGTATCTAACTTATAATAAAAATGGTTAATTAAGAGAAATATGTAAAGTGCTACAAAAATGCTTTGAAATTAGCGAATAAAAAAACATGAACTGAATAAATTATGACTATCATTTCGAAATATAGGGTTGATGAGCAATCAATAGCCTCTAAATCAACTTAAATAAGATATTGTTTTTTGAGTTATTTTATATCGAAATTGAAGTTTTATTTTTATTTATTTTTGCGCTGTGAAATTTAGTTTAACAAAAACTATTATCTGCAGAATTAAAATATTTTACCGATAAACTAAAACTGAATAATACGTCAAAATTTGTTTAAATTTCTTATCACTTTTGAAACTCTCTTGATGAACCGTCCGAGATTACCAAGCGATGCGAAAAATACAAAGGGTTAGCGAACGATAATGAACTATATATATATATATATATACAGTCAAACCCCGCTATAGTGAACACGGTTTATAGTGAACTCCCGGATATAGTGAACGAAATTTTCTGTCCCGTGCCTTGATATACGCGTATAATGTTATTTTTTATGGATATAGTGAACCAAAAAAGTGAGGAAGTTGGCTATAATGAACTTTTTTCTATCTTCGATGGATTTTTCTTGTAATAATTTTGAAATTTCTTCTTCAAAATAAGTACATGTGCCGATTCCTAAAACCATCTATAAAGGGGAATTTAGAACGATAAGCATTTTTTTGTGTTTGCTTCTTTTATCTCACTTTTCCATCCCTAATCAAACAAATAAATGTTTCCAACCAGGCAAATCATGCCCCTGTAAGGTGTCAGTGGGATCAATATGCATTTTCTGTCAGAGGGAATGAGTAATTATTCATTATTGGTCAAAGGGTTGGACACTAATATGTGTTGATAAGGCCCTCATTTGAACTCCTTTTTGCTCTCAGTTCAGTTAAAAAAATCCTGCAAACAAGTGTCTCAAATGTAACTATGGGGAGCAGTAAACGTAAAACGTTCTCCATCGATGATAAAATTGGCATAATCAGAAAAAATTGAAAAAGGATGCAATCATGCTGATATTTGCAGGGAATATAAACTATCAAAATCTGCAGTTCATAACACATGGAAAAATAGGAAATTAATAATTTCTGCTCATGAAAAAAATTTAGATTACAGAAAAAGTTGAGAAAAGCAGGATCACAAGGGTGTTGAAGAAGCATTACTGAATTGGTTCACCAGTCGAAGAAGTCGCAATCTTCCAGTATCTAGACAAATGTCGATGTACTAAGCGATTTTATGAGATTACTTTTTGTGCTCGAATGGCAGGTTAGACAGGTTTAAAAAGCGGAATAACAGAAATTCAGGAAAAATTATCTGAGAGTCGGGAAGTGTTTCCATATCTGATGTTGAGGATTGCTCATCAACTGAAGATTATAAAAAATTTTTTGTACGCAAGACGAAGAAGAATGAAAAATAACTCATTTTTTGCTACTACATAATATTTTTCAGTCATTTATTTGAATAATGTGTAATAAAAGCGATGAGTTTGGGAACCATTAGTTAAATTGCTAACGTAACGGATATAGTGAACTCCCGGTTATAGTGAACTGAAATTTCGGTCCCTTGAAGGTTCACTATAGCGGGGTTTGACTGCATATATATATATCATATACATATTACACCATTTATTGATGATGAGGCTTGCATTTTCGAACAGTTGCGTATACATATTACACGATACTCAAGTTATGACTGGAGAGGAGCGTGAGGAAGCAGTACAGCAAGTAATGGAGATAAGCTTTCTATCTTACCTCACAATATAGATTCACTTCTGCTGTCTAGTATGCTCTAAATGTCCCGAACTAACGGTGGCTTGTGTGATATAATGGCTGCGGAATCGATTTTAAATCATTACTAAAATTCAATATATAAAGAATGTTGACAATATTGCGGACTTGTCTTGAATATAGTTAAATCAAAATAGTTCCGAGGGTAACAACTACTAGTGTAAACATTCGATCAACATATTTTTTAAACGAATTATGATGTTATGATTGGGGGAGTCGACGAATTAGCACATTTAAATACAGTTGTTTTGTCACCATTAAAGTACATGTAGTACAAGATAATTTTGAAAGGTGACCAAACTGGTCGCCACAAGCGGCTACAGTATAAATTTGTCTAATCCTGGCTTCAAAAAGATTTTGATAGAAAATAGATTAAGAAACCCCACAACCACTAAAACATATAATTAAAAATTATTACCGTTAAACTTAAGACTTGTTAGTGATATACGATGCAATTTGATACAATGATATTCACAGAGTGAATTATAATAAATATTCAAGTTAGTTGAGTGTGTCGAATTGGGAGTACATTAAGAGGACGCTATACAATGGGAGAAACTTTTCATTGCAAATTCACTTCATGAGTCATTTAAAATTTAAATTATGGAAAAGGTGAGGTCAGACAAACTCAGAGTAGGCCATTAAGTTTAAAAAAAGTAAAGAAATGTTCAAAACATTAAAATTATGAGAGGATAACTTAGAATTAAGCAAAAAGGTAGTTCTCTTCCAGTAATTTGTTTGCATTTTGATATTTTCAAAATTTATTTTTCATGAAATGAAACTTCATAGCTTACTCTATGTTTATCTGAACTCACTTTTTCTATACTTTAAATTTGTTATGAAAATGAGACAGAGTTTACGGTAAAAAATTTCTCCCGTAATATAGAGATTCTTCTTAAGAGTTTCAAGAAGAATCGTTTGTTGCAGAATGGTTCATTTAAGGGGAAAAGATAATTCCCTTTTAATGTTACACGTTAAATTATTGAATAAGTAAATAAAGCATGAAGCTACTCATTATAAATGATGTTTCAGATCCAACTACTAAAAAAAATATAAATTTTTTTGATCACTTTTTATCTTGATGTTTTATTAAAAAAACTTTCAAAAAATATATCGAGCTTACCGTATCTTACACCCTTCTACAAACATACATACATAATATAAACTTCGTTACTTAATAAAATACATTACTGATTCAACAGTCAGACATTACTGATAGTGACTCAACAGTCTTAAATATATTTCTCCCCTCATAAATTACCTAGACAGAATTTTTATAAACTGGCCGACAAGCAAGCCCTAGCGTCAGGGGCAGAAACTTTTTCAAAGTCGAATAATTATCGTATTAAAAAAAAAGCTCTTATCAGTTTACTGAAAGTGCACCAAGGTAAATTTAAAAATCAATTACTGACCTCAATAAAAGCCTCAGTAGGTCAAACGAAATTCTATGGTCCCCAAGGTGTAACAGGTGGTGGTGTAAGGTAACAAATGGGACATGTTTTAGAAGGGTACCACGCGATGAACAAGGTTGCGATATTTTATTTTAGTTGTTGCTCCGACATGTCATTGATCTGATGTTTCTTTTTTTTTCTCCTTTCCGGAGAGATTCACACTGTTACCGATGTATTTACCTGGTCTCTAAGGTTACTTTCAATCAATAGTTCGAAAAAGTTCCGTGCTTGCGCAAATCGAATGCATAGATACTTTATTTATGTATCAACCGTCGTCAAAGCTTAATATAATGACTCAATTTCTCCAAGATTTAGAAAAAAAAGGAAAGTAGTTCTTGTATCGTGAATTATTTCTCTTCAATCGTGACGTCATTCGTTTGAGATGCCACTGTAAAATAAAAGATTTCAAATCAAAGAATAAAAATTTCACTACCGAAAATTTTAAAAGGAAACACGTCTGGTTGAAGTACCTAGAAAATATTTAAAACTTATTACTATTTTTTTTAATGAACATGATGAGATTTTTTAAAATTAGATTCTTAGAAAAATCGGCTGAACGTTGAGCCCTGTTATTAGTCCCATTATACAGGGTGTTTCTAAAATATATGTCAAAAATGTAAAGGTAGGTAGAGGGGACATAAATAAGCATATTTCGGATAGAAATGTGTGTGCGGTAATAGCACATTAAAACACTAGCTGTAAAGCAGTATGAATCAGAGGAAACTGAAAAGACAAGTAAAGACAAAAGAAAATAAAAATTTATCAAGTTTGCAAAAGGTGCTCGAAAGAGTAGCCACCAACATCGATACAAGATTCACAGCGACGGCGTATGAATCGGCGTACATTAGAAAAGACGTTAGGCATGTCGAGCACATGTAAAGCAGCAACAGACAAGCGGGCAACAAGATCTTCTTGATGGGACTCTCGTACACCAGGCTTTTAATATGACCCCAAAAGAAAAAATCCAAGCAGGTTAAATCAGGAGAACGCGGTGGCCAGGGAACTGGACCTCCCCGTCCTATCCAATGCTGGCAGTAGACAGCGTCCAGGTGATTTCTGAAGCTCCCTGTAATCCTCTGATCAGCTAATTTGTTTCCTTGTGCAGCCCCATACATGAAATGCACGTCGGCAAGCTCCACATTGGTGAAACAATGCATGCTGTTTGAGATCCGTGCGGGAATCCAGCTAGCAAGCGCTTTTATACGCCGCAGTCATCAGCGCTCCCTACCGGCTCAAGGCGGCATTACCGCACACACAATCCTATAAGAAATATGCTTATTTAAGTCCCCTCTACGTACCTTTAAATTTTTGACACACATTTTAGGACCACCCTGTATAGTAGAACTCAATATACTGCATGTATTCGTACATTGAGTCCTATTATTGGAAACGAAGTTAAACTAGTTGAACTACTATATATTGTAATGAAATTGAAGAAGGAAAAATTTGCATGGTATAAAACTTCAAGTTGATATCTTTTCATGGTTGCAGCATATTATGCATTTATTTAGGGGGTGTTCAAATAGTATATAAATACTTAAGGGGGAGGACTTATTTATTTAGGGGATGTTAGAATAGTATTTAAGTACTTAGGGGGGAGGAATTGCAATTTGCTCAAGTTTTTCTATCAAAGGAGGAAGAGGATAAGAGCATAATTTAAATAAAACACTTCAACTATCGCCAAATAACTCCCTAATAAAATGCAAAAATGATGACATAATGAAAAAGTATGAAAATTATTTTGGTTTTACATGCAGCAATGTTTTTAAAAGTGTGTAAAGCAGTGCATTTTGTTCGGAATATTAGAATTAATCGAGTCAAGAAAGAGAAAAAGTGGGAAGTCATGTAAATTCCTGCTTACAGTGTCACGCAAAAGTCTCTGGGTAGTATATTTTTTACATAACTTTTCGGTTTTTCTCTTTTTAAGTGTGTGAGAAACAAATAATTTTCATTTTATTTATTGTTAACCAAATTTAAATAATGTCTCTAAATATAAAAAATAAACCATTAAAAGCATAATATAAAAAAACAAAACACTAAATATGAAAATAAAATAAGCTACAATATTTTCATGTTCAAAAACATTCGGCGAAATTTTGCTTTTTATGCCTAATTTTCAAAAAATTACCACTACTCCATCATAAACGAGAGAACCCTAAATATTCTGTCATAAACATTCTATTTGTACCAATAAAACTCTCATTACGGGTAGACATGTAGGTTTGGTGTTACTTAAAACGATAATAAAACTATTAAATGAAGGAAGATCATCTGGCAACATTTCATCTTCATTATCAACTGAAATGTAAACTGTGAATGATCTGGATTAGTAATAATCGAAATGAATTTGGTTCATAATGTAAGTCTAAAAGTGGCTCATAACGAAAACCACAGAAAAAACAACAACAACATAGGATGACAAGAAAACTGCAGATTAAATTGCATTGGAGTTGCGTGTCTTGTAAACATCATTCTCAGTACTGTCATGAGACGTTTTTATAATATTGGAGAGTTGTGGTGGCTCAGTATGGAGAGTTGTAGTGGAGAGTTGTGGTGGCTCTCAATAATACATGAGTTCCACTTTTCGTGGTTTTCCTCTCCATGTAACGCCAATACGGGTTAGTTCCATCAAAAAGCCCTTCACGAGGGCAATTTCTCCCAATTCTAGATCCAGGAGCTCCCTTGTCATCTAGATTCGGTTTGAAATTACAAGGACAGCGAGTGTGACAACAGAACTTCTAAGTTGAAAAAATATCCAAAAATTGCATGTGACTTTAACCCAATGGAGAAACTTGAGGCAATTATTGCAAAGGATTTGCTAATGGAGGCGGCAGGCAATATGAAAGTGTTAGCATCTGGAACAATTATTATTGTGCCATGGCATTTCTGCGTCATGATTACAAACATGCTTAACGACAAAAAAAAAAATAATACTATTTACAGCGGGAAAAATTGTGTTTATAAACTGATATTGAAAATTAGAAATCACGCTCATTGTTGATCAGAAGATTTGGAAAAATTTTAATTACTTTTCATTATATTTTTCATAAATTTTATCGGGTGCTTTTACGCTTTGAGAACATAGTTTTTTAAAGTTTTTTTTTCTTCATATAATTTATTTTATATGTCAAAGGATTTATAGGCGATATTATTAAAAAGCTAAATATAAAGGAGTTTTGAAAAGTGAAAAAATATGCATTTAGTGAAAAAATACTTTAAAACACTAATAATTTTAGAATACTCGTAGAGAACCTTAAGTTTTTGAGAAAAAGTGTTTGTACAACATATACAAAATGTGAAATGCGGGAAAGAAAGATTTCGCATTAAATCCTATTTGTGGCATCTGTTGGGCATGCCATTATTAGAATGAAAATAACAGTCAAAGCCATGCTGTCATATATCAAGTGTTCTTAGAAAGTTCTGCAGCGTAATTAGTGTAGTAAGGATATTATGCAATAGGTTATATACATTATGCAATAAGTTATTACAATTCTTTGATCTAATTCTTTGCTCCGGAATATAAAAGAAAATGTACAATTTGGTTTCTTTTTTTTCATAAAATATCACTAATTTAAAATCAGTTATAAGCAATGAAATATTTTATTTAAACACTATATTAGAGATGGCGAAGAGGAATGTTAGCTACTTATTAAATTTATTGAAAAAAGGTTGTTTTCGAAATCTTTTTCCCAAAGAACTACTCAATTGATTATTAAAAATCTATTTTTATTTAGTTTAAACTCTATACTTTTCTTGAATACTTTAGTATATATTTTTAAATTATAAAATTTTCAAATTGAAATTTGTAATGTAATAAATGGACTTGGCTTGAAATTTTTGTTACTTTGCTTTGCGAGTAAAAAATAAACAGTTAAAATTTTCAAGGGGAAAACAACTATTTACAAAACGCAAAAATAGGCGAAGATAGCAACCTTGATGAACAAAAAGTCATTCTAGAGACCAAACCATTTATCAGAATATGATGAATAGGGTCTTAAATTAATCGTACTTTTTGTTCTATTTTAAGCGAGATTTTATTTAAATTATAAAAAATAGAGCAACCAAACAAGAGTACAAATTAAGAAAAATAACCTGGTAATTTATATTAACAATTATAATTTTTTTTTTCAAAATAAAATACATAGTTTTGATTACTTTAAAGATCGTGTATAAAAATATTACATAATATTTGGTTAACTAAAAAAGGTAATCAAATATGATTATCTGCACAGTAAAAAATATCTGTTAAATTTACAGTTAAAATCTGTCTGTTGGACTTAACAATGCCAGTTTATTCACACGGTTTATTTCACAGAAAAATACTGATATTTAAAAACAGAAGCTTGTTTTTAAGCAGATAAATACTGTTGTTTTAACAAAATAACTCCATTATTTTAACGAAAATACGGAAAAAATCTGAAAAATAAAAACGGGAATTTTTCGCTACGCGCTGGTAACGATTAAAGGAAAACTTTTGTTTCTGTAGAATTTACAGTTATTTTTCACAGTGTGGCTCAAAATGAACCAAATTATTCTAAAAAAAGGAAATGGTAAATGATTTGGTTCACAGACAACTATTCATATTTTGCTAAAAACCCAAAAAAGGTGAATTGAAAATTTGAACTCAGGAAATATATTATGATGATTTTGGTTCAAAAGCTCTATAATAATGATAATTACACAGAAAGAAAATGCAAAAAATGGAGAAACCGGCTTAAGAATCTTTCATAACTCGTTTTTCGAATTCCTTTTTCTTCTTCAAGGGTAAAAATTATAGTTTACAAACCCCCCTTTTATCTGTCATATGAGAAAGGGATCAGTTAAACGGATAGCGCTGTGAGGAAAGTTACAGTAAAATATTCAGAGATGCTATACTGTTAAATCCTAGTCTTTATTGCATTAGAAGGCATTTTTGAAAAATATTTGGTAAATATTTGGCAATTTTTGAGTAAGTTAAAACTATTCTTTCCCATAGTTGATGTTATTTAATGTCACATAAAGAAATGTGTTTTGATATGTTTTATTTAATCGGAAAAAAAACTAAGTTAAAAATGTTAAAAATTGAAAACAAAGTATGTAATAAAAGCACACTGCGTACATAGTGGTTTGCACCTATAAATGCGTCGTTTTTCTTGTTGGAGTCACATAAAATAAAATAACAAAAAAGTCAGCTTACTTTTTACTTGCTTCTTTAAGAAAAAAAAAACTCTAAACACTCAAAAGCAATTTTTAGAGCTCTTTAGTCAAAATGTTATGAACCGTTGTACGGGAAAATGGCAGTAGTGCACAAGGGAAAAATTATTATTTTTATGTTTACATACTATTTGAATTCCTATGGAGATTTTCTATTGAAGCAGTTTAATAATCTTGTTTATTTATTCACTTTTTAAATCAGCATGATATAATTGTACTTATCAAAATGATCATTGTATAAAAAGGAAATTAATAAAATTTTTACAGCATTTTGTAATACCTGTTGATTTATAAATTTTTTATGACATTATTCTTAAATATCCAAAGAGGATTTTCTCAATGATTTTTTAGCAAATGTTATAGATCTATAGAATGTTACAGATAATAGATGTATAGAAGTGATCATTGTAATCATTATGGTAAAATTTTTTTTAAAAAATATGCACAGAAAAAATAATGTTATGACTTAAAAATAGGATGAATTTTTTCTTAATAGTTTTGAAATTAGAAAGATTGAATAATACTACAAATTTTTGGAAATAAATTATTGTTTGCTGATTACGAGTGCATGTGAAGCACATAAAAATACTTTTTGTTTTACTCTTATAAAAAAAAATATCAAGAGAGAAACACGAGCTCTGACGTATTTTTTAATAGAATAAAGCATATCATGGACGATTTTGGTAAAAAATTGCTCTATTTTATAGATTGTACAAATTTGAACATTTTTTAATATATATTTCTCAGTAAAATATAAAATAATTTAGATGCAAATGCAGAATATTTTTATAGTTTAACAATAAGTGATACTAACATTATTTTTTTTTATCATTGTGATTATTATTATATATTTTTAAATATTGGCATATAGTTAGCTTGAATTTATTTATGCATCAAAAGTACATGAATAAAATGATGCATTAAAATTTATTTTATTTGCAGAAAGTTCTGTATATTATTTTAAGCCGATATAAATGAATTGCTCTATGTTTGGATTTCATATGACACTATATAAGTATAAATTATTTGTTCGGAGTAAATCTTATGAAAATGTGATAAAGGAAGATAATTTTATATTTACTTTTATTATAATTTATTTTTGTTATAAATTACTTTTATTATAGTTCATATATATTTTTCATTTATGTTTTATTGCTTACCAGTATCATTCATTGCTTTAGTTTTTATAAATCGTAAATTAATTATATCGATTTCTGAAAATAAAAGAAGAGAGTTCTTATGGAATTAAATCTTCGTGGATTTTCTCTCGATTTAAGACAATTTTTAAAAAAATTTGCTCAACAAACAGACCAGAATTGTTGCTTAAATGTTTTTAAATCATTCTTCTACATAAGAGACAACTCAACAAAGCATTTACTGTCTATTTCAAAAAGTATAAACCATGGTAACTTCTTAACCCTTAGAATTCCTGAGAAATTTGATGATGGAAAATTTCGTATTGATCCTGTTCATGGTAAAAAAAAATTATAATGCCATTAGAAAAAATAAAATTAGCATCCATTATTATTTTTGATACCATTATTATTCTACTTGTTACTTCGTTATTCATAAAATGATCCTATTTTTAATTATGGGTGATAATTCCACAAATATATATCACTATTTTCTCTACCTTCAATAATATTCTTAATTTTTTTCAATAAACAGCCATTTTTACTACATTTGATAGAACAGAAGTCGTTGGTGTTACCTCACTCGTCACCTTTTTTACATTTATTTCTGTAAGTTGATACAACAATCATCTACATTAAAAAAACTACTGACACTATTTCTTTTAACTCTCGATATAGTATCTCCCATTCATATCCCTATAATTCCAAATGATAATTCCTAAAACGTTTGCTTCCACATTTTATTTAATATTGACATTCAAATTGCCAGCATTTCTTTCTGTTTAAACAATTTGTAAAATGAGTCATGCTTCACTTCACTTTTTGATCTAATAATTCTGTATCGAATGTTGCTTATTTTCTCAGCTGTTTTGACACACCTCTAAGGATTCTTTCTGTAATTGGCTACTAACTCCATTCAAATGACGTCAGAACTAGTTTTGCAAGCGATATTCTTGTTTCATTACTATTCCGTAGATTCGAGTAGCACAAAATAGAATAACAGAACTAAAGAAGCTGTGTGACAGGTGCGACAAAATAAAACAATTGGAATTATTTACGAGTTAAAACTCCACGTAGGATTTATAGGAGACATCCACTTCACAGACGAAAGTGATTACATTCTCATTTTCTTTTTCCTATTAAGGTGAGATTTTTTTAAAAACGTGTTATGAACGAGTGTTTATTTCTTTTTAGGACATGGAACATTTCGTATGCTTTTTTTATTTTTATTTTAAATAAGTAAAATTTAATGCAGTTCAATTATCAGATTCTGTATATTTTACATTATCCTTCACTTTAATTATCAATCATAAAAAGATTCAGTATAGTTTCCAGTAATCTTTATGTTCAAAAAGTACCAAAATTTTTTAAAACCTATGCTGTTTTCTTAACATTAAAAAAATATATGACCAAGTGTCCTTTAATTTAACCCATATAGTATAAATTCATTATGTAAATTTGCGTTTGAAAGAAATTAATTTAAAAATTTTTTTTTTTTCGAATCTTAAAGATTTGAATGGAAAAAAATATTATCAAGGGAAAAATTATTTTATTAATTAAAGTGCCGAAGTACAAAAATTAAAATTATAATTTAAAACAAATCGTATTATTTAAGTATAGTTTTGTATCTTACATTATTCTGAAGTAATGTTTTATTATGTATTAATTACATACATATTCTTATGGAATATGATATTAATTTAAGAATTTAATGCTTTTGAGAAGCTTTAAATTTATAAATAATATTTTACTCAATTTCTCGCATTATTTGCTCATTATTTGTTTCGATATTAGTCTTTTATTTTAATTAAATAGCTGTAAACAAAACACTGTTAGCATACCACTGATATTTTTAATCCTACAAATAATGAGACTAAATAATTTATAATAAAGTGATAGCAACAATAAATAGTTATAATAATTAATAAAAGTAATGACAATTAATAATTATTATAATTTATATCTGGGTGATAACAATAAATAATAGTTATGACAACTTATAATAAGGTGATAACATTTAATAAGTTATAATAATTTACAATAAAGTTATATAAAAAATTAATAGTTATAATTATTTTATTAAATAATAAGAACAATTAATAATTATAATTTATAATAAAATAATTACAAAAATTAATAAGTATGATAGGGTTTGAAAAGATAGAGTTAAATGTTAGAAACGTACTGTATTTGAGGTATAATTATTTTCACGCTGAAATATTTTATAAATTATTATACCGATTAATAAGAATAAACTAAGTTATAAAATTAGAATATTGTTAATATCAATGTTAAAATTGTCTCCGAATCTGTTTATGATAATGAAGGGGATTTTTAAAAATATGAAAAATTTAAGTATTTACAACAAAATAGTATACATGAAATACGACGGAATATCTCAGTGAAAAATTGACTTAATGAAATGTGAAAACATAGTAAACTTTCCACTCGTGTTAAATTAATTACAAAAAAAACTTCACAAATGAAAAAGTTCTAAATAACGCAATATTAAATGACAAGTTTAAGTAATCTAACTAGGAAAAAAAACTATTTAATAAAAAGGCGAAAATAATAATAAAAATGACTTTTTTCCATTAACTGACATGAAACTATGCTTGGTAATTTCATTGGAAGGTGTTTTATATGGCTTGTTTTATTGCTGTTGAGATTGTTTTTTTATCTATGTATTGTGTGATTTCATAATCGTTCATTTAACAGTAAAACATTAGTCTTTCTTTTTTATAGACAATTAATTTCTTCTGATTGTTAAACTTTTCTGGAGAAAATATTGTGTCCACGTGAGTTATGAAATTTTACTTTAGAAACCTATATTAAAGCACAAAAAGGAGCCATATCCCACAATATAGATCCTTCAAGATCTAAGAACCTAAAAAAGTTTAAGTAATAATAATTGTAACAATTGCATTATTTCCTAAACAATTTGCGCAATTTTCAATGTTTATTAACAACAACAACAACAAAAAAAACAACTCTTTTTTAGATTATAAAGTTATCTATTAGTAAATATAAGAATATATTTGAAATATAGCTTATAAGAATTGTGATATGTATTGATGGTTAAAAATTTTTATTTTCAAAGATATTTGAAAACATATAAAATTAGGATACGATTTAGGGGAGATTAAAACTGTTTGTTTAAAAATAAATTTGATGGGTTAAAATTTTCATATGTTTTCGAGGAATAAAGATATATACATCTACATTTGTATTTATATATATTTAATATAAGTTATAAATATATATATTTAATGTATACTTTTGAATAATAATATATATTTATTAAATAATGGATATTTGAAATATTTTAGAGGAAATTAAATAAAGTTTCATTTAAGTTAGTTTTATTTCATCCTTCAAATGAATAATAATATATGGAGGGTAAAAAAGAAATGATGTATAAGTTACGAAGTTAATGATTGTTGACTGCTATCGATTTTTATGTCAATAATCACATCATCGATTTGATGAATGACTGAAATATATGCTAGATATGTTTTGGTATGAATTTATTCATCAGTGTTTAAAAATTTATTTAATAATTAAGAATGCTGGATAAGTGTATGGATAGTAACCGGTACTCTCCACCCTCATGTTTTTTAAGAATCTTTGCTCGGTGCACACTTGCCCAGTATACCCATCAATATTACTTTTTTAAGTTAATTGCCCGATATGCATTTATCCGGTATTTTGAATTCTGACGTTTTTATCTATCCTAATTGGATATCGAATCAACATTAAAATGTCAGATGGATAAATAAATATTAAATCGGATCGAAATATTTCGGGCATTCACGAAAGTGACAAAATGTTTGTTGACACCCACAAAATATAATTTTGAACTAGATAATAACGTTTCGTTTCCATTGCACAGCGCGCAAAATAAAAAACGGACTACCCTGAAGAACTTTTGATCTAATTATCCTATTTTTACGTCCTAGGACTCAATCTTAGTGGTTTGAGCGGTTGACCCAAATATGCTAACTAATAATTGCAAATGATATTTTCAGTTACCAAATCAGACAGAAAACTGAATTTTCTCTGAATAAACATATCTTTTTTTTTCCAACGGATTCGGATTTCTGACCCCCAAAATATAGGCAGTATTCTGGAAAATAGTTTACCCATAGTTTGGTCAGGAGAACGGTTCAAAGTTTGAAACCCTTAATGCTAATTTTATTTTTTTGCGTATTTTGACATGTCTCGAGAACTTTTTAAGCGAATTGAAAACGTTTTGCACACAAATATAAAATTAGTTTATCCAAAGATGATTTCTCGAAAAATATAACTTTTAGTAAGTATTTATTACTTTTTATTATTTTATTTAAAAACAGTCGAAAAAATTTTGAACTATATGGTATGAAATTTTTTACATTATTTTACAGATGTAATTTAACATGGCAAAATACAAAATTTGAACGAAATCGATCGAATAGTTCCTGAGAATTTCAAAAAATACGGCTTTTCTACTATTCGTTTTCTCAGAAACTATCCAACCGATTTCATTCAAATTTTGCACTTTGCCACTTAAAATTACATTCCTCAAAATTATGTAAACAATTTTATGCCTTACAACCCAAAACTTTTACGATTCTTATTAAATAAAAAAAAATATATGCTTATAATATATATATAATACTGAAAGTTATATTTTTCATGGAATTTTCTTTGGATAAACATATTTTATAGTTGTGTGCAAAAAGTTTAATTTACTAAAAAAGTTCTCGAGATATGGCAAAATACGCAAAAAATGAAATTAACTCCAAACTTTGGCCGCTCTCCTGTCCAAACTAAGAGGACCCTATTTTCCATTTTGCAGTTACCGCTTATATTTTAAGGGTCAGAAATACGAATCCCCCGAAAAAAAAGGTAAGTTTATTTAGAGAAAGTGCTCTTTTGTGTCTGATTTACTAAAACTATCGTCTGCACTAACTAACCATCGTATTTGGGGTCACCCTCTCGAACCATTAAGATTGAGTCTTAGAACGTGATGATTCGATCAAAAGTTATATACGTTGATCCGTTTATTATTTTGTGCACTGTACTTCATAAAATGATGGAATATCAAACAGAACAAAATTACTATTACTGTGTTATAAATTGTATTTATATAGCCTTCGAAATTTAATACTGATAGGATACGAATTCATATGAAGTAATTTTTTTAAACGGTTCATTACTATAATTAAGACTGTAGAAAAACATTCATTATAAATTTTTAATGTTTTACGTTTCCTGACGTTCAGAAAATTGAGATTATGGTTGGTTTAACCGGAGAATTTAAGTTTGGATATATTTTAGTTTATTCTTTTCTGTTTATTTTTTTTTGTTTCATTAAAATTTAGTTTGATTTATTTTAGCTCAATTTTACTTTTGTTTGTCAAAATGTAACCTTTCTTATTTAAGGCTGTTATCATATATTTAAAGCATAATAAGAAAAAAACTCTGTGCTCTAATTCCGCACAAGGAACGTGTTTCTGTAATAAATTACTCTCAATAGTAAGCAATACAAAACTCTGAAAATAATTTTAGCATATTTTTTAAAAAAATGTGCGCATTAGTTATATATTATAAGATAAGAAAAAAGTTCAATGTGGTATTAATTTTTCTTTAGAACTATGCTGAAAACTGCGTCTAAGATTGTCCATCGTTGTGTCAATGAAATATTACCGGTTCAAGCTGTCATACCTAGTTACGGCATCTCAAATCGATCATTTAGCACAAAACTAGAAAATGGGAAACCACCTAGGACACTCATAACTGGTAATTTGAATTTTATATTTCCTTTAGTTCAGATCTTTATATTTCGTTTAGATTAGATTTTAGCGCTTAATTTTTTTTATCCAAAAATAATTTTTTAATAGATTTTGTATTAGAGCTTTATTGCATTATATTTCAGGAAGTTTAGGTCAACTGGGCACAGGACTCGCGAAAAAACTAAGGTATGTATTTGTCCTTTTACAACAATTTCATATGAAACTGTCATATTCGCAGAAATAACGGCATTTTATGTTTAAATACAGTCCCTGGAAAAATTATTAGACGTACTGTAAGATTCTATGTAAAATCGTAATTATTAAGTGATAGTTCAGTTCAGTAGATCAGTACTATACAGCTTTATTGTATTTACGCAACTGAAACCGGTTTGCATTTGTTTACGTTCGTGTATCAATTCATAAAATTAGACGATAAATAATATAAATTTGGCGATTGGATAAATTAGACGACATATTATATAAATATAGAATATTTATTATATGAGGTATTATATTAGTTGGGGAGAGTAGTGTCAATTGTAACATTTTTTACTTAACTATTTTTAACTAACAAAAAATCCAATATATTATTAGTATTAATTGACAGACGAGTAAAGTAGACTATCCTCTACTAGAAAAAAAATTAAATACCTGATTTTAAATATTATTATATTAGTTATTAACAATTTTTGACAGTCGTGCACTTGTTACAATTGTCCCCACTTACGGGGTCAATTGTAACAGTTCATAAATTCAACTAAAACATAGTTAATTATACATATTATCATAGTTGTGATATATTTTTTTATTGATCAAAATAGTAGTGATATTTTAGGAGTAAAAATAATAATGAGCAGAGACCTAAAGGGTTAAACTTTTAACTTTAAGGGGTTAAAAATTTTAATTTATGCTGTGAAAGGTGACAAATAAAATAATGCACATGCAACATAATATAAATGATATAGGAAACTATTGGTGGTTCTTAAAGAGTTAAGTAATGGTTTGTAAACATAAGATTATTTATTTTCAGCTGTTACAATCGTCCCTTTACTTATTGTTACAATTGTCCCCAAGACGCCATTTCAGCTTCATTTGTTAAAAACAATGCTAGTTAATTAGCAAAACTAATCTTTTTTTTTTATTGAAATGTTAATTAAGGTGTCCACTTACATATTCGGTTACTAATTTTTATTTGTTTAAACAAAATTACTTTGTTACAATAAAATATTCTAATACCAAAAAAAAGTACTTGCGTGACGTGAAAATATCTTTTGTGATGTAACTCTTTCAAAAGTACATAAAAATGGTTGCCATCAGGGGTGTACATGTAGATTTGTTAAATACACCTTGTGCACCACCTAGGAACCAAATCTAGAACCCGACAATCGAAATTTTTGCTCTGTTACAATTGACCCCACTCTCCCCTATATTATAATAAATAGATCAAATAATTAAACGCAACGAAGTGTTTTAATAATTGCATGTTTTGCACAAGTTTATAAGTAATACTTTTATATTTAGACAATGGGTTTTTTTCAGGAGAATTTTTTATGTACTTCCCATTTGTATTTATTTTTAACGTAGTGCATTACAATGTTAATTAATTGATACACTAACGTAAACAAGTGTAAACCGGTTTCAGCGGCAGTCACATAAAAACAATAAAGCTGTATAGTATTTCCTGATAATTAAGATTTTACATAGAATCTTATAGTGCGTCTAATAATTTGGCGATTTTAAACTGTATGTTAAAAAATTTAGCAAAATAAATGAAGAACTAAGAAGAGTAGCATACTAAAGTGAGATTCTAAACATACACTTTTTACGGGTTTGGCGAAGATGGGGTTGATGTAAACATTCAGCCTCAAGTCATTCCGCAATTTATTATTTTTTTATGAGAAAAAAAAAATAAATGAAAATAATATTGGAATGAGATATTTCGTTTCCTAATACTTCTATACAATCTGAAGATGGAAATATCTTTTAAACATTATTCACATTTTAGTACAAAAAACTAATTCGTCAAATATTTAAAAAAAGAGGCAGCATGCACACTATTTTTTTTAATTATGCATTGTAATGCAGAGGAGTGATTCCTGTGGAAAATTTGACACTTATACATTAATTTTTTTAGAAAGTAAAGAATGAAATAGTATTTCAACAAATTTTCTCCTGTTTCAGTAGAAACATGCGTTTTAACCGAACTTTTATCAGCTAATCATTTTTTAAATTTTTTTTTTTTTTTTTAAATTTGCTTAACATATATTTGCTCTGATTTTGTCCAACATCCCCAACTTGTACAGCAATTATTAAACTTTGAATCGGGACTATATAAAATAGATTGTGTTAAGAATCAAATTCATTGATAATTTAGAAATTTTTTTTCTCACAAATATGTAGTTCTTAGTTCCCTCAGTTAAAAACGTAGACTGAAATCATAGTAGTTACAAATACTTATTCTTTTTATCAGATTATTTGATTACTATTTACTTCATTACAAGAAATATTTAAATAATTTCGTTTTTTGGGCTGCTAAAGGTGTTTAAAGGGTATTCCTGAACTCATGATATACTTAAAGATTGATAGAACCCTTGAATCCCTTCCATTGGAACAAGGCAAGAACAATCACGGAACTCATTTTCGAAGTCGATCATTTTTTGGAAATAAATGGTTTATACGAGTGTCTAGTTTCAAAATAGTGCTATACACTGCTAAAAATTCTGGTACTCAGAGTGTCGGTACTTTTCACCATGAAATCGATTTTTAGCACAAAAAATCTGATATACCGTAATTTTTACAGCAATAATTACCATAAAATCACTGAATCAGTCTAGTTCATACTTTCAAATTTTAAATCAATTATATAATTGAAAGAAAATTGCCATAAACGGTTTCTTCTTTGATAGGATATTATAACAGTCGTTGAACAGCCGACCCAATTCCTTAGGTTGTCGGCTACTAGTGTTCGACTCCGTAGCCTTGAATTTTTGAACCCAATCCGGAAGACAAGGCAACTCTTGGATCAAGTATTGAGATAAACTTAGTAAATCCGACTACCACTGGGGATATTTTAAGTCAGCACTGTGGTCTGTGCGAGCCGGATGTGGAATTCGAATCTGAGCCATTACTGGAATCGAACCTGGGTCACCTCGTTGGAAGCCGAGCCCTCTATCCCCTGAGCCACCACGGCTTTTCCTTGATATAGAGTCGTCTTAATAGGCTCCCTCCACCACTCGTTGCCGATTTACTAACCCCTTCTTACTACTTTATAATCTGTTAATATGGGTGAATGCCTTCAAGGTTAAAGTCCTTTGAAAACATGATATATTCGGAAAAAATACATTGTATTTTTGGCGAATATTTCTGAAAGCTGGTAGTCTTTGGTTTTTGTTAATTTTTGTAATCGAACTCGAAAATCGTTAAAGAAAACAAAGATGTTGCAGAACCAAAACATTAAGTTTAAATTGATTAAGCAATAGGCTCTGGATAAATAATAAAGATCGATTAAGGCCTAAGTTATGCAGCTGATTCTTAAAATTTTAATTAAGTTTTTATTTAATCTTCTTTTTTTATTCTTATTTTAAAGGGCGAGTATTTGCAATTCTTCCAGCCACAGAAAACCTACCAATTTATCCATTATTTGCATATTTTTAAACACAGCTAATACGTTTTTATACATTTTTAACACTGGATATACTAAAACTTAGTATATACTTAAGATTGCCCAAAAGCAGTCAAAATGACTGGATTTTGAAAGAATAACTAATGTGTGAAGAAATTTGCTTAAAATTAATTTTTAATACTTTTTATATTATTTACAGTTATAACAAAATATTAGTAAATATTAGAAATAAAAAAAATTATATGCTGTACAAAAAGTCACGAAATTCTAAGAAATTGTGTCTTTATATACATCATTGTTTTTCTAATTGAAATTAAAAAGCAGTCAAAATGACTTCCTTGGGCAATCTAGTGTTAAACAAAAATTCACTATAAATTTAATTTAAATTGTTCCAGAGCCAGATATGGAGCGGAGAATATCATTATGTCAGATATTATCCGAGCACCTGAAGAAATTCTGGAGGCTGGTAAAAACTTTTCTTTTCCCCGAAGTTTAAAATTAATTGCAAAACATTCAATATGTTACCTTCTTATATTTCTTTTATAGGACCCTATATCTACGCAGACATTCTAGACTTTAAAAATCTACAAGAAATCATAGTCAACTACAGAATCGATGCCGTGATACACTTTAGTGCTCTGCTCAGTGCCATTGGAGAAGAAAACGTAGCACTGGCCATGAGAGTTAACATTGAAGGACTGCATAATGTGATGGAATTGGCTAAACAGTACAGATTGAGATTATTTGTACCCAGCACCATCGGGGCATTTGGTCCAGATTCACCAAGAGACCTCACTCCTGATTTATGTGTCCAGAGACCTCGAACAATCTATGGGGTTTCCAAAGTACACGCAGAATTACTTGGAGAGGTAGTTATAAATTGTTTATAGATGATGAGAAGTAATTCAAGGGATTGAACCAATATATGTACTGATGAGTTAAACTTTATCTAAAGGTGGCACTTTTACATTCAAACTGATCCTTTGTATTATTTCCAGGTAGATATTTCATTACAAGTTACCGCTATATGCACTGGGCATACATAACAGCAAAATACCCACGATTATGTAATAGCCTACATGAAAATCGAAAAGATTTTACATCGAAAATGCTTCCCTGAACAACGTGAAAATGTGACTTATCATTATATTGCTCCAAGCCCTTCATCTAATGAGATATTATAAAGTTTTTAATAGAAATTAAATGTCCAATGACAATTGTTTAAGTTTTAAAAAAATATTGAAATTTTGAAGGAATTTTAAGATTTATTTATCATGTTTGCTTAATCTTATAAGTCCTTCACTTTCGTTTAACGTTGCATAGTTCTACCTAAGCTAAGCTGGTTGACTAAGAAACTGTTAAGCCAAATTAAATTGGTCTTTCGTGGAAGAATAAAATTAGAGCAAAAATTGTTATAAATTTTTATGTCACTAGTGTTCAAGACGACTTCGAGTAGGCTGTGTTGAACTTAATATCGTTACATAATTCTTGTGTTAAACTTTTGTGTGAAGTTTTAATTTTATGTCTTTTTCACTCATTTAATATTCAACAGGTATCTTATATGTACTAGGCAGGTTGAAAAACACTTTGTGATAAATAAACAATCAGTTTACCCCTAGCCCCAGCAAGGGGATGGAAGGTCACGTTTTTGTTTCGGTAAGAAAAATCCCCTCATGAAAAAAGTGGTAATATAAACTGAGTGCATACTTTAAGTGTTAGTTCCAATTTATGCTTTAAAAAACAGGTGTTTATATTATTCATGTACTTCAGTGGGCACGACTTTCTTGTGTCTACAACATAAATTCGAAAAATATTAAGTAAGTAAATTCTAAAACTAAGTAGTAAAACAAAACTAAGTTGCCAGTCATTATCCTTTTGTATTTTTATTTATTTATTAAATTTTTTTTTAAACTTTTGGTGTGGGAAAAGGATGAAATAGAAAAGTTTTCAAAATAGAAGATATCAGAAATAAAAGGTTGAATAAAAGGAATAACAAGGGATACTTTCGATATTCAAGTTGCTATCTTCGCGAAATCATTATTATCCTTTTCTTTCTAAGCCACTTATTTACATTTTATCACCCTTCATTTTATTCATTAACATTATCAACTCATTTTTCCTCATTAACTATTGATGCTTAGTCATTGACTTATTAAGCATTATTGTGATGAACTTCGAGCACAAATATATAATATCAAACTTTAACAAAACTTTTATTTTCTTAGACCAACAAGAAAAAATAGCAAGTTTCAATCACACCATGTTAATAAAATTAATAATAAACATTCTTAATCACATTACGAGATGTTAGTAAGTAAACTGCCGAAAGTAAACACACGTAGAAAAAAGTAAGTTCAAACAATGGATATAGTTTTTTTTTAAAAAGACGTTTAATACTATTTGTAAGTTAAAAATAAACCATTTTATAATTAAACTCAATTTAAACTAATTAGACAAACAATGAGAAGAATATATAAAAAAGTATCACTTAAAATACATTAAGTGGGAAAAAACAATCGATTGTCATAATGATGAAAGTATTAAATGCTAGCTATTATTTGACATAAATTATCGTAAAGATTTCTTCTCACAGATCTTCTTTAATTCTTTTACCATATCCATAATCATTTAGGGCAATGGTAGCCAAAGTGATACGCACTAATTATGTATGAAATGCTTCACAAATTAATAGTTAACAGTCTTAAAAATTATAACATGTAAAAAAAACTATTTAAATAAATACGTGAAAAAGGTTCTTGTATGAAATACATTAGAATATGCAGCATTGTAACTCTAAAATATTAAATTGGAAATAATCAATGACTCATGCTTACATTGGTATTTAAATCTAAGAGAGGGGGGGGGGAGTTTAATACTTTCCAATAAAAAAAAAGGTTTTTCTTTTTTAAAACATTATTTTAAAATGTTTAAATCTGTAAACTGCTTATTCTCGATTTTCATCTCTTGCATACTAGAGCAGCGGTTCCAAATTTTTTTTCGGCTTAGGAACCCTGAATAATCAACCTTCTTATCCTCGACTTTTTTATGAATAGGTGAGACAATTGTGTAAGCATTAACCATTAAAAGACTACTTTATTTTGATTTTTTAATATTTAATAAGAGGAAGGATTTTTTTCCCATCATTTTATCATTCCTCATTATTTTTTAGCGTTTTATCTAATAATAGAATTTATGTTCGATAGTTGAATTCGCTATCTTGGAGGTGAATCTAATTTTAGCTAAAAATTTGTTTTGGTTAGTAATTGGCTTAAAGTGAAGAAATTTTTTTTTTATACCATTGAATTTGATTTTCAGGGAACATATTTCTTTATTAAAGAATTTCTTTATTCTATATTTTAATTTGAAAATCGCAATGTGAAATTGCTCTTACAATTTTTTATGATTGCAAATCCTTTTCATAATAGTTGTCATTCAATCTTTTTTTACCTTTAAATTTCATATTTTTTTGGCATTTGCTTTAAATAATTTCATCAATTGAAATAATAATTAAATAATGGATTATTCCAAATAAAATTACAGATTTAAAAAATTTCTTAACTTTCTGAACCCCTTTAAATCTCACACGGAACCCTCGGATTTCGCGGAACACCATTTGGTAACCGCTGACTAGGAGTTTCTAATATCTAACTTTCTTATAGATATTAGGAACTCCTTGTATTAAGATATTAGTTTGTAAACTAAAGTTAGAAAAACTCTTAACACGCATACCTATACATAATTCTATTTGGTTTTTAGTCTTTTAGTATTAGCAAAGCATCATCAAATTTAGATGAAGCTGATTTCTTTAATGGATTTATTTTGCGTAACGAAAGAAATACGACGAAACATCATAAAAAGTTATTATTTTTAGAGACTAATATGGATATAACTGTAAGTATAAATCTAAACTGTGAATAATAATTAATAATTTGTTTTACAGTACTATCACTTCAAATATGGACTGGACTTTCGATGCCTTCGCTTTCCAGGAGTGATTTCTGGCGATACCGCTCCAGGGGGAGGGACCACGGGTAAGGATTATTATTTTTATTTCTATTCTTTTTTTACAAAAAAAATTCCGGTTCTTTCATTTTAAGTGGCTATTTTTTCTCAATTAATTTATGATAGTTTATTTGTTAGAATCATAAACCATTTCTTATTTAACTACAATTTTTACTAATTTTATTACGACGTATTATTTAAAAATGTTGGCCCCGGGATAGCCTGGTTGGCTGGGGACAAGACTCACGTTCGTGAGAGCGTGAGTTCAAATCCAGCCGGCCGAAGACTCCCCGTGTAGTAAATGGTGACTGGTGCACGTTAAATATGTCGAGTCTCAAAGTCCTCCATGGGCCAGAACAAATCAATACCTCTGGAGGTATTGAATTGGAGATGGAACGTTCGCTGGTTCAGGTCAAAATTACAATCTGTGAATAGATGTATGAATGGTTCTGTGTGATGTATGGGTGTGGCAGACGACGTATTCTTGACCATAGATGGCGCCACTGGAAAACAAGAACAATCGCACTCCTCGCCTTAATGGCCTACGACAACATTTAAAACTGTTGCATTTCTTAAGAAAACAGTATTGTTAAATGAAAGTTTCAAGAAAGTATACTAACCAGCAGATACTCAGTCGAAAGTTTATAAAGAGTTTAATATTTTGACATTATATTCCATCAATCCCACATATTACGCATAACGACAGAATTATTCAAAAAGGACTCAATTTAATTAATTTGCATAAAATTAGGTATAAATTACTCGTGAGTAATTTACATACTATTGAAAAAGGAAGTTTAAATTAAATATATAAATGTTTTTTTTAACTATATAAATACTCAAGGGGTATTATCCTTCATAGGTGTGCTTATGGGGTGGGCCTATGATCCATTCTAATGTGCTTTGTTGTAAAAATTTTCTCACTCACACAGTGGCGTAGCGAGTTTCCATGCTTTTGATGAAGCAAATGTATCAATAATATCATCAAAATTGATCATTTAAACTTTTTCTCTTTCCATACTTAAAAATGCGCTTAGGCGATCTGTCAAAATTAATTTTAATTTTCTGAATGAACGATCGCAGCTAGCAATTGATACTGAGATAGTCAGGAGTATTTGAAATGCCGCTCTCAGGTTTGGAAAAACATCTTCTACATAAACTGTGACTTNTTTATGCTGACATTAAACTTATATATAACATTTAATATTTATTAACATTTCATTTTTATTCTAAGCAGAGCTCGATGACAAGGACGTGAATTAAATATTGAAATATATTTAATATGAATATGAATTTAATATAATATTTAATATGAATTAAATATTAATTATTATGAATAATATTTATGAATTGACATTTATTATATTACACTGGCACTAAGTTAAAATATATTTTCCAGAAATCAATAATAATAAAAAAAAAAATTATTCAGCAATTTTTTGTTTTGCGGACCATTTGGCGCCCCTTTGTGAGTAGCGCCCGGGGCATGATGCCCCCCCTTACCCACCCCTCGCTACGCCACTGCACTCACATTAAAGTGAAGAAAATATTGAAAAATCGTTACACTTCACCGTACACTTATTTAATATTTCTTTCAGAGAAAATTTCGTAATTTGATTTAAAATTGGGGATGATAAAACAATGAATAACAATCATATTATGAAGACTTTATTTCAACTGATTTTTAGTGATGAAACCACACTTTATGGAATGCTTCCATTTATCATTTGAAATGAATTGATTTCACTTTTACAAACTCATTTATACAACCCAAAAAATTAGTTTAAATAGTTATTCAAACAACGATTGAAACGGTCCAGCAACCCCAATTGGGGTAGAGGGATGGAAATCGTACTGATTAAGTTATATTTATGTCATTGTTTTTTAAATCTTCACTAGTCAGATCAACGAAAGAAAATAAACTACAAGAGCAAAAATCCCAATATCAACAGTTCTGCAGTGGTCTGATCGTAAAGACACGGTTCCCAGTAGATCACAAAGGTCAAGAATTATCAGCCTGCGTTGGGACCGAAAGTGCACGGTACCGGTCATAGTTAAACTGTTTGACCGTAAAGTGTTCGACTTCGCGCTCAGGTCGTTGGGCTACCGAAGCGGGGGAGCCATCCCCTTTGCAGAGGATTAAAATGGCAATGGCATGTCTTCGGATCATCCTCCGGGATGTTTCCCAGACCGACGCCAATAGCCCATTATCAACCTATAAATAAATTTAAACTTTTTTGTTGTTTAAATGTTATTTGGTATGCCGTAAAAGAGGCAACAAATAATTTCTTTTTTCTTCCTCTTCCAAAAAAAAAAAAAAAAAAAGGATAACTCAAATACAACAAAGACGACACTTTGGCGTGCTGTGCATTTTACCATCAACAGATGATATTATTTGACTTTCAGATTATGCTGTATCCATTTTTCACGATGCTATTAGAAAAGGATCTTTCGAGTGCTACCTAAACAAGAACACTAAATTACCAATGATGTATATTGAAGATTGCTTGCGGTCTCTTATTGAAATAATGGAAGCCCCCGAGGAGAAACTAACGCTTCGAACATATAATGTTGCTGCTATTAGCTTCACACCTGAGGAATTGGTGAATGCCCTTAAAAAGCACATGCCTCACGTCGAAGTCACATATGCCCCAGATAGACGTCAAAAAATCGGTAAGTATTATATGGAACATTATGTTTATAGTTTTTATGTGATGAAAGATGAACACAAAAAATCAAACAACATGAGAATGCAATTTTATGCATTAGGGTGGGAAGAGAATCAGAAATTTTGAATATGTATTAAATTAAAGTAATTTCTAGGAAATAAATTGCTAACATAAAATTATTATAAATATATTTTAACCAGAATATTCCAAAAAATGGTGATTTTTTTTAAAAGTCTTTAGCCACTTTTACAAACGATATTTTCAAGTGGTAGCCAATTTTATACTTTAATATATTTCTTTGGGCAAAAAGAAATTGATTTGAAATTATTTCCCCCACAATATAAATAATTAAAAATAATAATAGTAAGAGTTCTGAAAAATATATCTTATATGAGTAAAAGTTTGTCAAAATTTAAAAAGTAGCTAATATTTTTAATGCTTTTACTTCGTTTTTCAATTACCACTATGAAAAATATTTACAAAAAAAAAGTATAAGTTGATAGTNATATTTTAACCAGAATATTCCAAATTCATATTGGAATATTCATATTCCAAAAAATGGGGACTTTTTTTAAGTCTTTAGCCACTTTTACAAACGATATTTTCAAGTGGTAGCCAATTTTATACTTTAATATATTTCTCTGGGCAAAAAGAAATTGATTTGAAATTATTTCCCCCACAATATAAATAATTAAAAATAATAATAGTAAGAGTTCTGAAAAATATATCTTATATGAGTAAAAGTTTGTCAAAATTTAAAAAGTAGCTAATATTTTTAATGCTTTTACTTCGTTTTTCAATTACCACTATGAAAAATATTTACAAAAAAAAAGTATAAGTTGATAGTAATGTATGAGAAATTAAAATTTAAAGCTTGCCCTCAAATATAAAGGACAAAAAAGGCAGTTTTGTGATTTTTATTTCTTTTCAAAAAAAAATTTTCGAACTTGCCATAACGATATAAAAGCAGCTGGCATTATAGGTATTATACATACCTGCCAACTTTTACGCATTTGGCGTAAAATTTTATTTTCATATTTAAAGTGGTAGTAAATATATACTATTTTTTCATTTATAAACTTAATTTTTAAATGATTTTGATCACCACTATTCTTGAAAACATTAAGCACATATATTAATATGCGTTACTATCATGGTTGTGAGCTTAAGTTTTTTCAATTACAACGTATTTTTATGCTTAAAATTGAAATTTTAATTCCATTATAATACCACTGGGAAAAATGATAATAGAAGGGATTAAAAGTTGGCAGGTATGATTATATCTCAGGGAATTAAACTCGAGAAAATGTCATAATTATTATTATTTACATTATTTGTTTCTGAAAATTTTATATTTTTTATTTAGTAGACATGGAACTTTCTTGTGTCAAAATTTTTATCGTCAAGGGAAAAAAAAAAAAAAAAAGAGAAAGATTTTTGGAGCATTAGTGGGAGCTTATTGCATTATCAAAAAATATTTTGCAATACCATTCTTTAAAAGTCATGCACAATTTTTTCATTTCATGTCTAAAAACCTTACTACAAAATATGAATTTATGTGAAAAAAAATCCATGTTTTTGACTGTATTAACATACTATTAATATTGGTCATTAATTACTAACATTTGAAGAACTAGCTTAATGAAGAATGTCAAAAGATCTCTGTTTATTGTCCTGTATAATTTGCAATCATCTCCAGGGGCGCCAGGTAGCATTTACTACCCCATGTAAATGTATTTTAAATGTAAATGTTGGGTAAAATTTATTGATTGTCATTTATTAGAAACGTTAGCGGTGAAATGATCGATAATTTCTATTTTTCAGCTGATTCATGGCCCCAAGTTTTTGATGACCGAAATGCCCGTAAAGATTGGGGATGGAAACATCAATATGACATAGATGCCATATGCAAAGCCATGATCGAGACTGTAAAACCGTTTTATTCATGAAATATATATTTTTTCTCACTTCGTATAAATAGAAATATCAACCACACTTGTTTTATTTATGGATATTAAATTTAGTTCTATCATCTTCACCAGGGCTTCAAGATGTTCACAAAAATAAGAATGCTATTAAATCAACTTATATAAACATAATCAAGTACTGACTTTCATTTCAATTGCATACTTTGTAAATTAAAATTCCAGTATAATCGCTAATAAAATATACTTAAATAATTGCAATGAGAAATAAGTATCTTTGCGTATAGTAGGATATGCTGTAGAATTTTGCAGAGAAATTTTTTTTTTTAAATAAGAAAAAAAGTCAAATTTCCAGCAATATAATTTTATTTATAATAGAATATATATCACAGCAATAATAAAAGATTAAAATTAGTCTTAAGTTGATTATTCTTAGGTGAAAATTAACAATACAATAAAAAATAGTATAATTCATAAATACAAACAAAACTCGAAAAAGAGACTCATATCATAATAATATGTTTAAAAAAACTGATTAAACAAACAATTAGTAGAAAAAATCACAATTCAGATAAAAACAAGTAGTACATACAATGTAACAAAAAATAATGAAAAATATTAAAAGTGTTTATTTTTTTTAATATATCTATCATTAGTTGTTAATAATAAAAACAACTTTCATAACTGTGCATTAAATAGTTAGTAAACATTTGTTTAAATATAATACTTTTGTAGCACTGAGAGACATATACAGCATACATTGTTGATTATAAAACATCTTCAACATTCACTTTCTATGAAGCTCATATAGAGATACAATATATATGTGCTTCGATTTGCTAAACATATTTTAAAAATTCTTTATTTATTTTATAATATAATCCAGATTTAATAAATAAAGGATGCAAAAAGTGATTACGATCAATTAATTAGAATATAAATTTTTAAATGATACATAATAAATAGTTTGAGCATTACAAACTATGGTTATACATATTGTTATATTATATATATATTATATATATATTACAGATATAATCATAACCAAATCTAATTTATTGCCAACAAAAGATTGATCTAGCAAGGTTCATCTGCTCTTTCGGCATTATTTCTGAACTTTCTTCTAATAAAAATATGTGTAGATCAACAAAAAAAAGTTTTTTTAATTTATATATTGCTACAGTAAGAAAAAAAAAACGGACAAATTTAGCAACTTTTATACAATCTGTAAAATAAATAAAAATAAAAACACTTTACAATCAAAGTTTATTCTTATAAAATAAATTCTGGGTAAAAGTTAAAATGAAATCAAACATAGTTTTTTTTAGTAATCATTAGAATTAAAAAGTTTCGTTGCCTTTTTTTTCCCTTTTATTTCACGTAAGTTCTAAATATATGTAAGTTCATTAGAATACTTTAAAGAACAGCTTTAAAGAAAACATATTTTACATGATGCTGATGAAAAAAAAATGTAACAAAGAAGAGAACCATGTTCATATATTTGTTTAAACTTTAAAATAAATGCTCATAGAAGAAAAAACTGATAAAAGTTTGGTATTTTTACTTAGTTACCCATTAAAACATTTCCGCATTAAAGAGGTAAAGAAAATATGTTTTTTTGGACTCATACAGCTCAGAACCTTGATAATATTTCAATAGAATGAGATTATTGTCTCCCCTTAAATAATGCCTATATTCATACATTACGACATTCATACATGCTATCAAAATATATTGGCTATGAATTTTATACAGGACCAGCTACGTTAGTTCATTTTTAAGTCAAACTTGCGAAGAAAACAAAAATTTAGCAACTACGGATTTCGACATATTTTTCAGAAGAAAAAAATAATCTGAATAACAACTGCAGTTGAAATATAATAACAGAATGAGAGATTAAAAATAAAGAAGAACCACACTATTGATTTTCATGAAATTAATAGCAACACAAATACAAAATAAAATAAATGGAAAGCCAATATAATTCTGCATTCTTAAAAAAGGGAATGTTATTTTTAACAATTATGTACATAAAAAGTTCAAGATAAAATGCAAGATGAGATTCAAATTACTTTCTAAAACTATATAATTATTGATATAAATGCAAATTAATTAAAAATGAGTTAACACTTTAAAAGCTTGCCTTAAAACTAGAAACGTTTTACGTAAGAAAAAGGTAATAAATAAACCAAACTTTTCATTTAACAGTTTTCTTTTTCATAATTGTGACCTTTATGTTTTTTTTTTTAAAAATAACTTAATGAAAACGGAAAAAAATATTAAATTTTTAAACAACATTATCTCTCAATTTCTAAAGTTTAGACACCTTTTTAAAGCTTTAGACAATTTTTTTAAAATGCAATAATATCCATTTCTTAGTTCATATTTTAATAATAACAATCTCCATGTAATAATATATTATCACAATATCTTTATGCAAGAAATAAAATTTGATATGCATATACTTAAGATACTAATAATAGTTTCCATGCAAGTAGCGACTTAGTCTACTAGCTAGACTATTAGAAATTACAAGTAAAATTTCATTTAAGATTTCAGTTTATAAGCTCTTTAGTTTCTCAAATTGAGAATAATACTTTAAATGGAATTAAAAACAAATTATTATTTTAGACAAATGTCGAAAATCTCACGATACTTAACAATTGATTATGAAGAAGTCTAACATACAATAACCAATAATCTTAGCAGTCTGAAGTGAAATAAAAAAACCATTTAAATAAATAAATAAGGAAACAGTTTATGAGGATTTAATTCTTGAAATAATTATAGCGTATTTCAATATTGTCTCAGATAAATAGTGAGAAGTGACTAATTATGAAGAAGTCAAACAATTTTAAAAAATATGAATGAGTGTTTAAAATTTTAGTAAGAATTGAATAGTTCTAAAAGTTCTACAACAAAAGTAAAAAAAGAACAATTTAAGAGACTATTTAATAAAGATAGAAAAAACTAAACCTTAAATGCAAAAAGTTATACTAAAAACATTAAATATTTTAACAACAATATAAAACAGATAAATATCAAATTTTATATTTTGGAGTTATTTTTATACAGACATTTAAATTTAGTGGACCTTTTTTCTGTTAGCTAACACTTTATATATGTTTTAAGTATGATTTTAGACATAGCTTTTTATATCTTTAATTTATTTCGGTAAACACAAATACATTGTTTTCCTAAGACAAATTGTTGTAATGAAAAAACTATGCAACTACTATTTTTTATACCTTCTTGAGAAAAAAAAAATTGTTTTAACAAAAAGGCACTGAGCCTTAATGTGTTATTTATTTCATGATATAAATAAAAATTTTGTTAACAGTAAATAAGCAGAGTATTAAAATGAAAGCACTAAAGTAACTTAAAGCAGAAGATTTTTGAGTTCATGACTAGAAAAGAAACACAGCAAAATTAGACGGAACACAGTTTCTGTTTTTTTGCTAAAATGAATAAGCAAAATGAAATTCATTCAACTAAAAATATTTTGTACAATTTTGAATTGATTGTCGCTAATCAAATGATACATAAAATCAAGTTTACAGTTCTTAAAAAAGCATGTTCAAAAGAACTGAGATTTACTTTTCTGCAATATGAGAATTTTCATTTAAAACTTTTCTACAAATAAAATGAAGCATCGGTAGAAATTCAAGAAAAAGCATTGAGCTCCTTAATTAAAATACCGAAGAAATTTTGTAAAGATGATAATATAATATGAGTATAATCAATAGATGATGTAGTATAACAGCATTGAATAGCGTCAATACATTTTAATAAGCCAAATATGTGGAAATTTTCCAATGGAAATTCATTGATATTAATATCTCTAAAATCTAATTTAGTTATATAGTTTAAAATACTTTAAAAAATGTTGTAAATTTATTTACAAATTTATACATTATAAACTAAAATAAGTTTGGATTACCTATAAAAACTATGTGCAAAAATTGTAAATCAAGCAATTACAACAAATAACATGTTTCCAATTTTGGAAAGATACAACTAAGATATATTTTCATTATAACAGTTCAAACAAAAATAAATATTGGGGTTCTACAAAGTAATGGAATATTAAGTTGTTGCTCAAATGCTTTAATTAATAATTTTAGAGAATTCATGAAAATTTAGATACAGCATAACTAGAGATTACTTTAAGATTTCCGCATCAAAGAGGATGAGTGTAATTAATGGGCAGGCTTTAAATAAATGCATAAATTTATGTTGCTTATTTCACTAATAAGTAATACATATTTAATAGAAGATATTATTCCCTAACAGAAGTTATAAAGCAAATCTTTATTATATCATTATTAATAAGCACTAAAAGATAATGGGGAAAATTATTTTCTGGAAGAACAGTGATTCCCAAAAGGTATTACACGGAACCATAGGGTTCTGAAAAAGGGTTCCATGTTTGCACGAGTACGGAGAATCAGTATTTCTTTTTTTTATCCAGTCTCGAAAACTGCAATATTTATATGTAATAAATAAATGATTATTTACTTAATATTATTTAAGTTATTTTTTATATTTAAGTAAAATGTCAGCAAAAAAATTCTAAAATTTAAAAAAATATAAGTAATAATTCTCATAACAATAAATAAAATAAATTATGAAAAAGATATTCATAAAAAATAAAAAAATGCACTGATATCTCTCAAACTTTTCAATTCAAAATTTTCTGATAACGAATTCTCAAAATTTTTAACAGTTTTTTTTTTTATATTATCATTTAAATAAAAACCATAACTGAGCATTTGCCAAACCTAACCTAAAACCTAATTCAGAACTAAACAAAAAGTCATTCTAGTCCGACAAATTAAACTGCCTGACATAAAATTTAATTTTAAATGTATTAGAAAAAATTTCATACTTCATATTAAATATTTTACCAGTAGTATTTTTTTTTTTGATTAATATGTTCACAATTAATAATGAACTTAATTTATATAGTTGGGGTTCTGCTAAAAGTTAGGGCTAAATAAGTGAAAAAAAATTGGGAACTGATATTCTAGAAGATTGAAAAACTTATATTACATGTGAGCATTTGTTATTTAACTTACTGAGAGTTTAATTTTTATTTTAAATAAGGGAAGGGTGATAAAATTATTTTTTCATTATGTAAATTTATGAAAATATACATAATTTATTTCAAAACAACTATGTTCTAACCAGAAAAAGAGTTCCTGATTGAAATACACAATCAAACCAATTAACAGTATTATTAGTTTTTAAACATACATTTAGACTACAAAATATATTTGTAAGACAAAATTGTATCAAGAGGAAAATTTACAACCATTTTTATAACAATTATATTGTAATTACCAATTATGGAACCAAAAAGAAAAAAAAAAGTTTAACCAACTTTAACATTTATTATTTTGTTTCCTAAATTTATATAACTTTGAATGATGGCTTTAAAAGTAGGTCAAATTAATTTGTTTACAAATTACACAAATGCCAATTAACAAATTAGACTGACTAATGTTGTTAACAAAAATAACAATCCACAACTCAAATAATAATAATAATGGGGAAAGAAAAATAGCTGATCATTATTTTAATTTTTTGTGTGCTTAGGAAAAATATAAATACTGGTGTTTTGATAAGCTCGATTTGATTCTAAGAAAAGTCAACACTTTTTACCACTAACATGAGCCAAAAATGTTGCATGGGAAATTTACCTATTTGAATAGTAATATCTACTACATCTTTTTGCATCTGCGTATTTATCTTAAAATTTGTAACAAAAAATTACAAATTTATAAGCCATATAAGTTAACATAAATATAATGAATAATTTGCATTTCTCATTTAATTTTTTAAAAAAAGTAAAAAAAAAAACGGAATATATTTTTTGTTTAAGATACATATTTATTTCTTCCAATGCCCACCGGGGGAATAACCTTCCGTCATACAGGTATTTACAGGGCAGATTTGTGGGCCACTTTTTCAGGGACACCCTATTAGGTGGGCCAACGTTGCTCCCACTGTAAGGAAAGATGGTACAGAGAATGAAAGAACATCCATGCCTTACCCGGGATTCGAACCCAGAACACAGGCCGGTCGTCTCAATTAAGTTATTTATCTACTGATAGTGTTAACAGCATATAGCTATCATATCTTAATAACTTTTAAACACATGAATTTCATCAAAAAATATTCAACAAAATGTCAAATAATTTAATTGATTCTATAATCACAACTGCACGTTTGATATAAGCAGATCTTTTCGGATTAATATATTTCATGGTCAATAAAATGAAAAAAAATATGCATTTGAAATTTATGTACATATAGGTACTTATTTGTCTCTCAAAAATTTTAAAACTCTTAAGAAAACTTAGATATTATATTTATTTATCGAATAAATATTTTTGGAAAATGTAATATATAGAAAACTCTTCAAATAGATATATAAATATATATATATTTAAAATTTTAATACTATAACTTTAAATAATTCTCCATTAAGAGGCGATGACACCTTAGCTGAAAAATAAGAATAACTCTTTGAGACCATCAAAAATAGAATAATAAAAAAATAGAATAATTAATACAATAGTATTTTCTATCTTTTTAGAAATATTCTTAAATTAAAAGAACATAAATTCCTTAAATCTAACCATGATATTTTTACTGCACAATTCGTCAATACTTTTGAGACATAACTACATCAATTTCAGATTTTGAGCACTTTTTTAAATTGGCTTTTTGAGCAGTTTCTTGCAGCTGGTAGAATCTTACTTTATTGTTTATTATATGTTTATATTCACTAAAACAGACACAATTGACTTGAGACATAACTAACATTTTAGCCGTATAATACATTTAAGAAATAACTAGTAGATTCTAAATGTAACATTCATAGATAAATTATAGTGCAGCCAAATCATAAATTTAATTGTACTCATTTTAGATTTTATTTTACTTATTTTTTTGATTTCAACTAATAAACATTGCATTAACTAAATTACAATAGTATTCCAATTATATGGAATGTTTTAAAGTGAATAATGACTCAAAATGAAATTTTATTGCGAAATAACTGAAAAGATCTGTGAATTAAATTAAAGTGGTGAGAAGATAACAAAAGCTGAAAATTAGCTAAGAAATAAAAAATTGTCAATATTTTTAGACAGAAGAAAGCCTATTTCCAATTTTGAGCACTTTTCTTAATTGGTTTTTTGAGCATATTCTTGAAATTGGTAGAATTTTATTATATCTGTATTGTCTACTGTATGTTTACATTCAATTAAACTGACAGAACTAACCTAAAACTATCCATTTAAGCCACATAATACATTTGAAAAATAACTAGTAGATTCTAAATGTAACATTAATAGATAAAGGAAGGTGCAGACAAATCATAAATTTGATTTGTTTCAATTTTACACATTCTTTTTTTCTGATGATTCAATCTAGCAAATATTGCATTGATTAAATTACAATAGAATTCCAATTATCTGGAATGTTTTGGGGGAAATAAACAATGACAGGGGATGACATTTTAAGGAAATTAGAGAGATCTGAGAGTTAAATGAATGGTAAGAAAATATGAGAAACTCACAAAAAATACTAAAAAGATTTAAAAAATTTTCTTAATATCAATTTAAAAAATTAGCATAAATCAAAAATCTGCTTTGTTTAATTAAAATAATGCTAACTGAACGAGAAAAAAAAATTATTCACATAATAATGGAAAAAAATAATTCCAATGCGTTTTCCCCATTGTTCACAGGGTAGAGTTAAAAAAACTGTTTGCTTGATAAGTACTTTTAATTTTCGCAAAATATTTAACAGTTTTTTTTAAACATTTTCTATCATTAATCAGGGTAATAGTAATATTTTTGATAATACAGGTTGGGTTATGCTTATATTCGTGTAGATAATTGGATTTCTAATGTTAAACTTTTCACAAAATACTTCTAACGAGTAAAATGTGACAGGTAAACTGAAAGAGGATAAACACTCACTTATTGTAGAAAGTAGACATATAAGATAAAGTATCCTCATGAAATTAAAACATACATATTTAATCCGCACCAGATCTCACTTTGTGATAACCGCCACTTTTCGGTACGCACCACTCGTCTTCAGACTCATCCTCCTCTTCATCTTGAAACTCCTTGTTTTTCTTTTCATTGTAATTTAAAAGTTTCTTGTCTTCTGTCTGTTTACTTTGCAGCTGCATAATATTTGCTTCCTGAGAGATGGATGTCATTTGGGATTTCCCACTGTTGCCACTTTTCTGGAAAAAACTAGTTGGCAAGCTAGTTTTTGAAATAGCTTGATTTTTTGAAGCTAATGACCTAAAACAACAATAGATAGATAAACACATAGTTTACAGCAAGTTTAAAATACAAAAGTTTTGTAAGAGCATTCAAAAATAAGAGAAATATTAATAAAAAATATATTTAAGTCTTGAAATTGATAATTCTGCATATAAAAAGGAGTTAGCAATCTGTTGTTGCTAATCTCGGAATTGTCTGGCAGCGCTAGACGACTCCCATGAATCCAAACACCTCCAAAAAGTCCATAAAAAGATTGGAGTCTTGCAGGATCTCATCTTTACCGAACCCCAAACAAGTCAGAATATGCGCAGGGGAAGGGGGGCATGTCTATCGAGCACCAGTGACACTTAGGATAAGTTTTTTGGCCCCAGTTGAAAGTTAGGGATCCAGTGTGGCCACTCAAGAAGCGTGAAAATACAGTTTGATGGGCTCTCGATCTAAGATTGAAAGATTCTCCCGGTTAGCAATCTAATTTGTATTAACGAAATTTCACTAACAGAATGCACAGAAACATCTCACTACTTTCATGAATATTGTGTTTTTTTTTCACTCATTAACAATTTAGAAATGTGGCTTAGATTTATATTGCACAGAGCCCTTCATATATAATGTATGCTAGGTTTGTAAATAGAAATGTATTTAAGAAATTTGATTTCAGTAAATTTAAAAAAAAAAATTTTTTTATCATTTACTTAGTAAGCTTACCGGACAAAAAATTAGTCACCCTAGTGCAAACACCGATGAATCTTTAGGTTTCGTTAGATGACTCAGTGGTCAAGTGACGTGCTCAACTGCATGCACACTGCTTCAACCTGATCAAAAACAAGTAGCTATCAGTGAGATATTTTTGTTTGAAGCGGAAATTGTGTGCAAATATGGGTAAGAGTAAAGATGTGATAGAGTGGTAAAATGGGGAAATTGTGTTTGGCCGTGCCAATGGTTATATGGTGAATAAAGTTGCTGGATTTGTTGGCGCTTCAAAGCTGACTGTTCAACGTGTCTACAAGCAGTCGTGTAATATACGTGGTCACGAAAGACGCCGTCAGAATTGTGGTTGGAAAAAGATCCTGCATGAAAGTGACTGGAGACGCGTTTCACGACTTTTCAGTCAAAATCTCTTCCAAACTGGACAGGAATTACTTCAGTTACTAAATGAAGATCCATCCCAGTCCTTTAGAGAGAAAAAATTGCGAATGGAGCTGCATGCAATGAACATATGGAGTCGAACATCTCGTAAGAGGTCATTGCTCGCACTTGCACATAAAGCTGCGCGACTTCAGTGGGCTAGAAGTCACCGATCATGGGCAGTCGCTGACTGGCGGAATGTAATATGGTCTGAAGAATCACGCTTCTGCATTTATTCAAAAGAAGCACGTCTGCAAGTGCAATGCAGACCAGATGAAGCATTTCATCCTGACTGTGTGCAAGCATAGGTTCAAGCTGGAGGTGGGTCTGTCATGACGTGGGGGTACTTTTCTTATTATGGATTGGGCTCCTAACTGAGGGGGCCACTAACATGATCCAACATGTTTATTTGAAAGTTCTGGACAATTAGGTTGTTGCCTTTCAGTCACCCTCTTCATGTAAAGTGTGTTGTCGATACCCCTATTTTTCCAGATGACAACAGCAAAGTTCATGCTGCTGGAAGTTTATGTGACTGGTTTTATGAACACTCAGACACTCAATTACATCTCGGCAGGCCAGCAAAATCACCTGACTTGAACCCCATTGAAAATTTGTGGAACATGTTGGAACAACGGGTAAAGCGCCAAAATCAGCATTCTTACAATTTGGTGAATTTGCGCGATCAAATCCTCAACGAGGGGCTTAAACTGGATTCGACGTACTTGCAAAACCTTTTGGAATCACTTCCTAACCGAATCCAGGTGGTCATCAAATCTAAAGGCGGTGTTACACGTTATTAAATGACCTTTTTCATGATTTCTCTAATGGTGACTAATTTTTTGTCCGGTGAGCTTATATTTTTAATGTTAATTTTAAGTCCGGTTAGATTCAAAAAGATTTAAAAAAGTAGAAAAATATTTACTGCAGTTTATTGTACATTGCGCCAAAAAAAGACCACTTTGAATAACTTTTGATCTCATTCTTAATGATTTGAGGGGGTGATCTCAGATTTGCAGCAATTTAAACATAAGTGCAGACAATATTGTAAGTTACGAAATCAGACACAAAACGTACTTTCTCTGAATAAACATATATTTTTTTTTACATATTTGGAATCTAGACACTTGAATTAGGGGGGGTAGACAAAATTTTAAAACAATTGGGTCGTAAATTGGGTTGCAATAAAGGTTTATATATTTGGCGATAGTCCAGAAAACCGCCAAAAAAAGTCGCCTGCGCAAATAAATATTTTAAGATAACC